GAGTCTGTCGAAGTAGCACTATACGATATAATATATTATATATAAAATTCTCGTGTCACAGTGTTAGTTACCATACTCATTTGAAACGGCTTGACGAATTTTTATGAAATTTTTAATGCATATTCAGTAGGTCTGAGAATTGGCTACTATCTATTTCTCATATCCCTAAGTGATAAGGGTTATCCATCCCTAACGTTTTTTAAATTTTTTTTACATTTATATTATTTTATAATGTGGCATTAAAAGTACATACAGCCTTAAATTATCACCCTTCTATAACCAACCTCTATTTTTATTAGCGATTTTAATTTAATAATAATAATAATCTCAGGACAATTCACACAGCGCCATCTAGTCCCAAGTTAAGCTATCCAAAGCTTGTGTTACGGGTACTAGATAACTGATACAAGTACATAGATAATATTTTTTTCGTAAATACATACATATTATACATAGATCACACCCAGACCGATACAAACAATCATACTCATGAATACAAATGTTTGTGCCGTGCGAGGAATCGAAACCGCGACCATCGGACGTAAAGCGGTGTGCTAGACCGATAGACCACCGAGGTCGTCAATTAATATGAAAATTGCTTTTAATTTATATAGCAAAACAACATTTGAGGGGTCAGCTAGTAATATTTAAAATACTATATATGCATGTATATATAAGTTTCGTCAGAGGTAGGCAAAAATATAAACACTTACAGTTATAAAATTTATAATTTTTCAATCTCTCATTACATTACAGTTTAGTATATAAAACTAACTTAACAACTACTTTTTAACAATAACAGGCTTTCTAATACCCTTTGGCAAAACTACGTAAGTAGTAATCACACTTACTGTATTTAATTATAATATTCCCTGTAAATTGTACAGGTTTTGTGTACATAACATACCCATAACACACAATCGTGATAACGGCTTGTGTTATGGGTATTACATAACTATTGATATGAAATAATTAAATAAATTAAAAAAATTTACATAGAAAATTCCCAGACCGATACAAACAATCATACTCATGAATACAAATGTACAGTGCGAGAAATCGAACCCGCGACCATCGGTAGTCGCGGTTGCAGAGAGAGAGACTATTTAGTACTGTACTAATGACCTGAACTGTAGTTAGTACTAGATCTTAGACCCTAGGTCAGGGTAGGCGAACCTATATGCATCAACGTGCCATTTTTTCTAAAAAATGTTTAATGAGGTCATTGACGTGCCATCAAATAATTTTGACTTTCTGATTATTTGGAAAATAACAACAATAAATACTATCAAAACTCTCTATGAAATAAAGTAAACAAAAGAGATACATTTAGGATTGTTTTCATTACACGCATAAATTAAATTACTGTAAAATTAGTGTGACTTCTGCCGCCTGACAGATACAACTTAATTCTGAGGGCACCCCGTAAGGGGATCGAACCTCGGCTCAGGCCGTCGTAACATCCCCCCCGGTCCCCGTTTGAATTGGACGGGAGATCAATCGGAGGTGCGCTCGGGTGAATGCGCGAAATGATGTGTACGAGGTCGTCGTCTTCGCTGGCGAGGACGGTGTCGTGATTGTGTCTCCAATAACAAAACGTGTTATAACTTAAGACATAATGCAAAAACATCTTGCCACCGCGATGTAGAAATCATACATAATCGACACAGCGACATCTAGTTAACATTTTAGAACTATTATATTGTGCACTTAACTATATTAGCTTAAACAGAGACCTTCATATTCCTTTACTTCATTGGATTCTATAAAGCCTAATTAATACTCACTTAAAAACTAGTTCTTAACAAACGTTACTTCAGTTTTAACTACAATAGTAATGGGTCACCATAACAATAAACATATTAAAGAAACCGAAACAAATCAAAACAAAATATCTTTATTTATGTAGGTTTATTACAGGTTTATAAGTCTATTGTACAGTCTATATATGTGATGGCGTAAAATCTCCTAAACATTTCTTATTACCTGCCTTTACTCAACACGTTCTTTCACAGGACAAGAATCGCGCGCGATTTAGCGTGGGAAAGTCAGAGCGCACGATTAGGAGTATTTCTCTTACATTTCTTTTATATTTTAAAAGATATTTTTTTATGCCACAGTTTTCATTTTCCAAAGACACGTTGAAGATTTAGAAAATTATCAATAACTTTATAATTGTATATAGAATTTACGTCTGTCTGTCAGTTTGTTCCGGCTAATCTCTGAAATGGCTGGATCGATTTTGACGAGACTTTTATTGGTAGGTAGCTGATGTAATAAGCAGTCAATTAGGCTACTTTAATTTTAGAAAAAATATTTTATATACTGTTTTACTTAAAAGAGCAACACCAAGTTTCTTGCTCATTCTTTTTGGTAGAATAAAAAACTTGACTATTCAAAAGTGCTTATATTAAGTTTATTTGAATAACGATTATTTCTATATCTATTTCTATTTATATCACGTAAAAATCACGGGATATTACCACGTTTTATAAACAGTTAGTTTACCCGTGGTGGTTGAAACACTGCCGAAATATCGGGAACTCAGCAAATAAATATAAAACGCGGTAAGATCCCGTGATTTTTACTAGTTATACGTAATAAATATTTAATTTTAGAAAAATAAAGTTAAATTCCACGCGGACAAATTCGCGTGTATTGTTAGTGTATAATATAATTGAAATAAACTTTGAAATGTAAATTCAATTAGTTGTTTTAAACGACTTAACATTTACAACATTGCTTACTAAACTTGAAAGAAGAAACACAGCCTTTGTTTATTAAACAAATAACATCCATATTTATAAATAACTAGCTGATTCCGCGACTTCGTCCGTGTGGAATTTAACTTTATTTTTCTAAAATAAAAATAGCCTAAGTTACTCCTTATTACATCAGCTACCTGCCGATAAAAGTCTCGTCAAAATCGGTCCAGCCATTTCAGAGATTAGCCGGAACAAACAGACCGGCAGACAGACAGACAAAAATTGTAATAAATATTTTTTTGGTATATGTACCGTATTTATATTCATATGCGTGTAGTAAAAAATGGTTATTTCAATATTACAAACAGACAGTTCAATTTTATTTGTTATTATATATCAATTTATTCAGTATCAATGAATTTAGAATGTAGTTGTTACATTTTTGCTAACACAACAGATCGTAAAAACAAAATCAATAGGCTAATGGCAACACAGACTGCCGAAGCCAAAAGAAGAGAAAAAAAAAACAAAATCAATTCTAGATGTCTTTTAGATTTCTTATGTACGAGTATCTATACATATAAAATTGAAATAACTGTTTTTACTACATGCGTATGAATATACATACGGTACATACACCAAAAAAAACATTTTTTATAATGTTTGTCTGTCTGTTTGTTCCGGCTAATATCTGAAATGGCTGGACCGATTTCGACGGGACTTTTTATGGCAGCTAGCTGATGTAATAAGGAGTAACTTAGACTACATTAATTTTAGATTTTTTTTTATTTCAGATAAAAACGTATAAAAATAAATTCCACGCGGAAACAGCCAAAGTGGCGGGAACAGCTAGTATAACATATATTCTTGTTTAAGTAAATGCTTTATATAAATTTATTAATACTAGTGGTCACCCAGTGGTCGAAATTCGACAAGAATAAAGAATACAATAATATCTTTGAATCAGTAATAACAAATGTATAAATTTTAACAATAAACAAAAGAGTATATGTGGTTTTGTATGTCAAATACATGGTAATTTTTTTTATTGATTTAATGTATTTTTATGCACATTTTAAACAACATATCAAAATTCTGCATTCCTTCTCTATACTCCACACACTAAATTTCAACCGTTCATAATATTTTCATAAAAATAGTTTTTTCACGTATGTATTAATATAATTATAAAAAAAAATCACAACATCACTGTTTTTTTTTGTTAACTTATCCCAGATATGAAGTTGCAGGACTAAACTGCCAGTATTTTCAGGTTTGTTATATTTTTTATTTTCCGACAATTTAATATGATATTTATAGTACCTAATAATTGACTTTTTGAAAACGTGATGTTTTAGAAAGATATATAATAATATAATTGTATTTATTATATATCTTTAACTTTATTTTCTTTATTAATAACTTTATACCTCGACCAGACAGTCTAATCACTCCTCTCCATCCTAAGGTTGCCTGGAAGAAATCGCTATTTAGCGATAAGGCCGCCCATTGTTACCTCTATATTATAATTATGTTGTTTTTCTTTTTATATTTGATGTACATATTAATTTATGTAACTGTTATATATTTCTGTGTGAGGAACAATAAAGTGTTTTTCATATATCTTTATATATAAAAATTACGTGTCACGTTGTTTGTCCGCGGTGGACTCTACTACTGAACCGATTGCAAATCCAATTGATTTGCACATTGTGTGCAATTTGATCCAACTTGAAAGATAGGATAGTTTACATCTCAATTTATAGTCGGAATACTATTTAACTTTACCCACAGCAATACATATGTTTAATCGTCTTTTGTGTTGACCTCCACGCGGTTCCCCCTGGAAACCATCGTGATAAATTCCTGGTTAGCTTGTCACTAAGCGCTAACTAACGGGACCTCATGCTCATCTTGTCATCCTCCACTGGTGCCCCGCCAGCGTAAACCGTTAGCGCAGACGGGTGCACCATTCCATTATCATCCAAAAAAATCGTCTTTTGTAAATTTAGTTTACATAGTCGTCACTAGATGGCGCTGTTCAATTTCTACAACGCGATATTATTTCGTTTTGTAGTTACTGACGCACTGTAAGATTTATTATTGGTTAGAGGTTTTTGATCTGTTTACATTACTGTACATATTTTTATTTTATTATTGTGGTAATTACGATCCCATTACACTTTAGTCGAAAAGTAAAGTGTTTTAATTGTCCTGACTTTGATTAAAGTATTTAAAGTGTACTTGTGAAGCATCGGTGACTGTACACATATATTGAATTATAGTGATGTTGCATCTATAGTACCTATAGGAAATAGTTCTGTATCTATTGTTTATTTTAATAATATAATAATTTTTATCAGTACTGTGGTAATAAGATTAAGGGAGTGCACAAAATATGATATTCCCATTCGAAATAGGTATTACCTTCTTTTAAATGAGGGTAAATAAATACATTTATTGCTATACTAACTGCAATATCCATTCAGCTACTGATAATGTCCAATTTTATTGACTTTGTGTCAGTGGCTTGAGGGTTCGGTGGATCTGTGGGTAGATTGGCCACTATTGGTAAAGTGGGTTCAGTCTTGACCGTTTCTCTATAGGAGGGCGGTGGTGTGGCTGTAAAAAAAACAAAAGTAACCTAAATGTTAGGGAAAATACTCTCTGCTACCAAAATGTTAGGGAAAATACTATGTATATAGGGAAAAATATGTGTGGAAACGTCTGTCACGTACCTGTATGGTTCTGCGGATTTCTTGGGCTTCAGGGTCTCGAAGATATCTGCGCTAGCTTTCCAGTTTCACAATAGGTTTCACAGTAGGTTTAACACAGTTCTAATTTATTTTAATTCACAACAAATGCGCGCGCGTCATGTCCGCTGTACGGTCAGTTCAGTACTGTAGGTAAGGGAGGGGAACAGAAACCGCGGGAACACAAACTAACGGACTCTAATATAATAATCTGTGCTTACAATGGTACAGGGTAGATTTTGAACAGTAGATAATCTAATTCGTAAAACTCCATCTAGTACCAAACTCGGGGATTTTAAGTAATAGTATGTGATCTTTTCTGTGGCAATATGCATTTTGGGGCTACTATAACTAGCAAAACTTTTTTCCAAAGCAGTAGTTCTATTTTTTCATTATTATTAAATTTTCGGACTACTCTAATGCTGTTGGCTCTAGCTGGCTTTTACAGCTTCACCGGACGATAGAGGGCGATTGCAGATGGCACTCGAAACCCGCGGAAGGACTTATGGAGCGGCTGAAGGCCAACTCCCGCCTGACGGATACGACTTTAGTCTGAGGGCACCACTAGGGTTCGAACCTCGGCTCAGGCTGTCGTAACATCGATCCCCGTTGAATTGGACGGGGGATCGATCGGAGGGGGCGTGTTGAGTCATCAACTTTAGTCTGAGGGTACCCCGTCAGGGGTTTGAACCTCGGTTTTCAGGTCATCGTAATTACGAGTAAGTAAGTTTTAATTTGAACCAGGGATTGTTTGTTTTTTTTTAATTAAAATCAACTCACGCGGAAATCTTAACATCGAGATGTAGAAAAATTAATAAAACTTATCAACGCCATCTAGTGGCACAGTTATGAAACTAAAAGAAAACAATTATGACTAGTTTGATTGTACATAATAACTTACATGTTTTTGTGTAGAGCTCCGTGGGTTGGTCCGTCGACACGTACGTTTCGTTTGTCTGTCCGTTTGTTTGCTCGATTCTCTGCTCATCTGTACACTCACTTTTATTGTCATCTGGAACGAAAACAAATCAACATATATTTATACATCTAAATATATATAACTCAAAGGTGACTGACTGACATATTGATCTATCAACGCACAGCCCAAACCACTGGACGGATCGGGCTGAAATTTGGCATGCAGGGAGATGTTATGACGTAGGCATCCGCTAAGAAAGGATTTTGATTAATCCTACCCCCTAAGGGATAATATAGGGGATGAAAGTTTTTGAAAAAAATCTATTATAATATGATTACGACTGATTTAATCTTATTGTGTTTTTATATTTGAGCCTAAATAAATTAGTGCTGGTTGGTAGTTTGTATTCACACGTTTCGACTTGTAAAATATGAACTTACAAGGATTGTTTAAAAGAGCAACACACAAGTTTCTTGCTTATTCTTCTTGTGATGAGACAGCTTTCTGAATAAGCGGTAGATTTAAAAAAATGTTAACTATTCAAAGTGCTTAAATTAAGTTTATTTGAATAAATGATTTTCTATTCTATTCTATTCTATGTACACTATGTCAATTTTAAACCGATCGGACTGAGACTTTGCATGCATAAAGCTACTATGACGTAGGCATCCCCTAAGAAAGGATTTTGATAAATTCCACCACTAAGGGGATAAATTAACGCGGGCGAAGCTGTCTAGTTCTGAAAATCTAGTTTTTGTTCATACTAGTGGTCGAAATTCGACCATAAATAATATAACATTCAATAAGAAGCAATCGAAGAGTTCGAATTTACCTAAATGTTTTATCTAAATGTCGTTTGGCTAAAGTTAGTAATTCGTATTATGGCAATTGCGTAAGGTTTTACAATAAAATACCAGAGTCTGTTATAAATCTGCCAGAAAAAAGAAATTTAAATGTCAAATAAAACAGTTCCTTTGCAAAAAAGCTTAATATAAAATTGAAGAATTCGTTAACGATAATAATGTTTTTTGTAGAAAAACTTAAAATTCATAGCACTGACAATATTATCCAATTTCAGTAAGAATAAGTACGTAGCGGTTTCTATGTTGATTATCGCATGCCTCTTACTTGTTATACTGTAATCATCACTTCACTACACAGTATAAAACAAAATCGCTGTCACTGTCTGCTTTGATTCGGTTTTTTAAATAGATAGAATGATTCTAGAGGAAGGTTTATATATATAATACATGTACACACGGGCGAAGCCGGGCCAAGTAGCTAGTTTTTTACATAAAAAAACATCTATTCAAAAGAGCAACACACAAGTTTCTTTCTCATTCTTCTTGTGATGAATCTGTATTACGAATGAGTGGTAGAATCAAAATATGACCATTCAAAAGTGCTTGTATTGAGTTTATTTGAATAAAGATTATTTCTATTTCTATTTAAGACTATACACAAATATTAAATAAATCAATATTAATCTATTCTCAATTTGACCACAGACTTTAATACTCTGTAATAATAATGCTATCTGTGTTAATACTAAACAAAAGAGTATATATGCATGTGTTGTTGCTGGTAAATGATACGATGTTGTTGGTCAAGACGATGTATATTACAGATGGTAATAAACTGACAATATGTACATAGAAATAATGATCTTATATACTAAATAACAATAGGAAAATGTAAGGTGGGGTGACACAGTTTAGACACAGCAGTGCTTTGTAGACAATATTGAATTTGTCTTACTAGACATTATTAAATAATAATAATCTCAGGACAATTCACACAGCGTCATCTAGACCCAAGTTAAGATAGCTAAAGCTTGTGTTATGGGTACTAGACAACTGATATAAATACATAGATATTTTTTTTTTACAAATATATATATAATATACATAGAAAACACCCAGACCGATACAAACAATCATACCCATGAATACAAATGTTTGTGCCGTGCGAGGAATCGAACCCGCGACCATCGGACGTAAAGCGGTGTGGTAGACCGCTAGACCACCGAGGTCGTCAAAATGCAAGTATTATATTGATGTATCTAGGTAACTGTGTCCCATATGTGTCAAATACATGATAATGTGTATTATCGTAGTACAATTGAAGGAGTAACTTTGGCTGCTTTTATTTTAGTAAATTTACTTCTTTTATATAAAATTCTCGTGTCACAGTTTTCGTTCCCATACTCCTCCGAAACGGCTTGACCGATTCTCATGAAATTTTGTGAGCGTATTGAGTAGGTCTGAGAATCGGCCAACATCTATTTTTCATCCCCCTAAATGTTAGGGTAGTCCACCCCTAATTTTTTTTTTTATTTTAAGGCAAAACAATCTTTGCCGGGACAGCTAGTATTTTAATAAAGAAAAAAGTTAAATTATGTCAGAGGTGCCAAACAAAATTTTGCACAACTCCAATTATTAAACTTAGAACGTGTAGGTTGGTCAGGTTCAAATAAAAAGATGTACTGAATTGTTATGTATACATATAAATAAAATTGGAGTGTCTGTTTGTTATATTTGTTATATTATAACCCTTTGTATCCTCGGGGCCCTGGGCTGCAGCCCAAAAAGCCCTTAGCTAGATCCGCCCCTGCTCCTGATCTTCACGCCAAATTTAGTAATTTAATAGCTGTTAGTGGTTATCAGGTGGATTCTTTATTTGTCATTTCGAAACTTACAAAACACCCTGTATAGGCTGTTTTGTAAGTTTCCGTTTGATATTCCAATTATATAAGAAAAATTAAATTAAAAAAATATACTTACTGCAGCAGCAGGTTTTTATCCATTGCCGTATAGCCATTATGAGGATAAATTTTATTATCAGCGCTGCTATCGCCCCAAATATTTGCAATGCCTTCGCCATATCGGTGTCCAATAAAATACTGAAATGGGAAAGAAAAGAATATAAAACAAATTTATCAAGTCACAAACATTCTGTATTCTACGGTGACAGCACTCATAAAAAAAACACAACGCCGAACAATGTTTAAGGCACTGTCAAAATGTAGATCAAGTGCCCATATTTCCTAGGTAACATTTGTGAGTAGCTATGACGTGGTCTGGTGTTTTGAGTAGTCATGCTCACTAAAATGTCCAGACTTGTGGCGGCGTCGTGGGCCGGGTCATTGGGCTCCCTAAAATATGGTCGAGCGCAGTGGTGGCTGGCTCATCCGTCATACTCGTGAACGGGTGCTGCTTGTGTGGACTGGTCTGCTATAATCACTATGACTTATTTTCTCTTATTAATTGTTTAACCAGTTGTTGTATATTGAATGTTTTTTCTATTTTATTATTTCATTGAATTAGTGCTAATCGGTGGTTTGTATTCACACACTTAAACTTAAATGGTAAGTAAGAATAAATTATTTAAAAGAGCAACACACAAGTTTCTTGCTTGTTCTTCTTGTGATGAGACAGCATTCCGAATGAGCGATAGATTAAAAAAAAAAAAATGTTATGACTATTCAAAAGTGCTTCAATGTAAGTTTATTTGAATAAATGATTTTCTATTCTATTCTATTCTATTCTACATTTCTTTATTTAATTTATATATCATTACATAGTGTGCTTACACTTGTAATATTTCGGTCAACACCTGAGACCGTTCCATTATTTATATAATTTAACTTAAGTGTAAAACAGTCCACCACCACAGTTACGACTCCGCGTTGAGATGCGAGTATGCTACTCTAACAAATATTGTAGCGCATTTTTTTTTCCCCTTTTATTTGTTTCACCGTTTTTTTTTTAATGTACATATTTTGATTTATTTTAAATCTTATGCGATTTGATACAGGGGAAGTCTTTAATAGAAGTTTTCACTGTAGGGATATATATTATATTATACATATTTTCATAATTACAATGATATGAATAAATACAAAATTTTATAAATAGTAATTAAAGTAAGTATTGTATCATATCATAAATCGTGTACAAATGGGTTAAAGCTGAACGTATCAAATGGGTTAAAGCTGAAAATATGTTCCCTGAACAATGTTACGCTGAGCTTCGACCTTTTTGTATTGCTACAGATCACACATAATAACACAATTTTATAAATCTTATGTTGTATTATGTATTTTTTTATGAACATGTTATATGTGTGACTAGTAACAAACAAATAAACGATGTATCTATCTATCTATAACACAGCAATACACCACCCCAGGTCTTGTGCTGAAAAACAGCATTGCAGCGCTCCAGCCGCTGCAGCATTATGCTGAACGGACCTATTCAGTAGATGCTTCAACAGACATACACATGCACACATATACGCACACAATTCATTTGTGTACTGTTATTTGTTTGTAATTATATATTTGTTATTCTATTTTTTGTTTGTTTAATGTGTTTTAGTTTTCTACTGAATAAATATCATTTCATTTCATTTCAAATAGTACAATTATTACAACTGTATACTCACTACCTACATACTACAATAAATAATATATTAAGGAGCGACACCTTATCATATCACAGCATATATCACGCTAGTGGTGATAGGGCATTGCTAGCAATGTACCAGGTCGACCTCCACGCGGTTCCCCCTGGAGACCATCGTGATAAATTTGGTGGTGTGGTCGTGGTATTTTATTATAACAAAAGTAAATTGCAGACATAAATCGGTTAAACAGAAAGATGGCAGTATTCAACATGTACATTTTTACAAGACAAACCTTTGAAGTTGTTACATTTATTTAAATTATTTTTTCCTTTAATGTTTTAAATTTACACAGAAGTATTATATATAATTTTAAAAGTGTTTAGATAATGATTAAGTGAGTGTGGTGGTGAAAGACGGTGTGGTTAATTTAATTGACTTATATAAAAGGAGGCAATTCTAGCTTCTAGTTTTGAAAAATGTCATTTTTCTATTTAATCGACGATGGCTATAAATTACAGAATATATGTACGACGAAATACAGTATAAAATGTCTGTTCTGCATGTCTGCAGAAGAAGCCATTTTGTTGTCTAAGTTTTCCCGCGCAAACGTAATGCGCCACAGATAAACAATATTGCACGGCGCGCAGCCGCTGTAGGATGACGAGCGCGTCACAGCTGTATGTGCGATATATAAGTATAAGTTTTAACACTAACATATATAGAAAACTAACTTCGTCTTACGTGTTATATCTAGGCGGTAGCGTGTCAAAGCCGAGTTTCAACTAAGAGAACTGGCGAGCAGCACCGTGTGTATATTTAACGAACCATTTGGAGCCATTTTTGACCCCCGCATAACTCAAAAAATCTTTCACATAAACCTGTCAAATTTGGTTCAGATATTGATACTTGCGAGATAAATATGTGTTCCAAATTTCATAAACATTTCTCAAACAGTTATTCAGATATCGTCATTTTTATCACTGATCAACTATAGATCAAAATTATATGTCTCAGAAAACTCACTTCCAGATGACTTAGGAAGTTCAAATTTAGCATGCAGATAGGTAATTAGGTGAATATAAAGGAAAAAATTTCATATACGAAATATAAGTAGCCTTCGCAAGTTCTAAACATGTTACTTGTCGGTTCCTATTTTATTATTAGTAGTAACTAGCCATCGAAAGTAATAATTGGTATATGAGAACTAGCCAAGTTAGACCTTAGGCTACAGTATATTATCCAAAGTTATAAGAAGAAATGATATTATATATTGTTATAAATACATTTCAGGACAGACCATTGAACTTGGCACCCATTTAGATCTCCCCTCTTTTGTCGTAGAAGTCAACAATCAAGGCATATATCATAATATTAAACTCGGCTATCATTTCACATTTATGTTTTTGATGGGATTGACCTTAACCAAATAAAGAAAAAAAAATATTCAATAATTTAACTCAAAAACCCCAACAAAAAAAGTTTCATCGTGCTAGCTTTAAAAATGACAATTTCCATACAAACTTTCATTCCTTATTTTATTTTACCCTCTTAAGGATAAGATTTTTACAAATTTTGAATATCATATTTATTTATGCGTAATCAACAGCCTTTTTATTTTTTTATGACACAAGGGACAAACGAGCATGCGGCTCACCTGATTAAGTGATTACCGCCGCCCATGAGCACCCGCAACACCAGGGGAATTGCAAGTACGTTGTCGGCCTTTTAAAAAGGAATAACTCTTTCCTCGAAGGTTTCAATATCGTATCGGTTCGGAAATACCATTGCTGGAAGGTGATTCCACAATAACTAAAAAATTTGTTTCAAGATTCTAGCTTTAAAAATGATGAGACTACCATACAAACTCAAAATCTTCCTTTTCAAACCCATCCAATCCTATTTTTAGCATTAAAAATAGATTATGACCTTTCTCAGGGTGTAAACTATCGGTGTATCAAATGTCATTTCAATCGGTTCAGTAGTTTTGGCGTGAAAGCGAGTAAGACAGACAGAGTTACTTTCGCATTTATAGAATAGAATAGAATAGAAATCATTTATTCAAATAAACTTACATTGAAGCACTTTTGAATAGTCATAACATTATTCTTTAATCTAATTCGGAATGCTGTCTCATCACAAGAAGAACGATTAAGAAACTTATGTGTTGCTGTTTTAAATAATTTTATTATTACTTTACATTTTTAAGTTGAAGTGTATGAATACAAACTACCAATTAGCACTAATTCTATTAAAAACTCAAATAGATAAAAAACATTCAATATACAACAACTGGTTAAACAATTAATAAGAGAAAATAAGTCATAGTGATTAGAGCAGACCAGTCCACACAAGCAGCACCCGTTCACGAGTATGACGGATGAGCCAGCCACCACTGCGCTATTATTAGTAAGAATAATAAAACATAAAATAAAATATTCATATTGAATTTGTGGTCACCACATGACTATGGCAATCTGCTATATTTCTATCCATACATAAAATAAATAAAAATAAATAATTAAAATAAAAACATAAAAATACTTTTAAGTATAAAATTTAATCAATAAGTATACTTTAAAAAAAATGTTCCTGCTCATCTTCTAAGTTTATTGTCATAGAACAATAATGTATTCATAATATTGAATGTATATATATATATATTATGTATTGTATGTATGTTGTGTACATGTAGAAATAGAAATAGAAATAGAAATAATCTTTATTCAAATAAACTCGTTACAAGCACTTTTGAATAGTCATATTTTGATTACCCCTCATTCGGAATGCAGATTCATCACAAGAAGAATGAGCAAGAAACTTGTGTGTTGCTCTTTTTATATGTATATATATATGTTATAATATTCGTGTGTATTCTATTCTTGTTTAGTTTTAGTTTAGTCTAATATTTGTATATATGTTATTTATATAATTAATGTTAAGCCACCATCAAGTATTTCTGCACTTCCTCAAGGTTGACTGGTAGAGAATGCCTATAGCATTGAAATTTGAAATTTATTTATTTGCTTATTATACAGTTAGATATTATAATATGTCCAGGTAATAATATTATTGGCAACTGTTTAATTTCCCCAATTTACGGGCATGCAAATTTTGGGTATATTAAAATGGAATAATCTATAATTATTCCATTTTAATATATATTATTATATTATATTATTACATTAAGTCAATAAAGTTTTAAATAAATAAATAAATAAATCTTAAGTATAAAAAAATAAGTGCACTTTTTAAATAATTGACAAAGAATAATATAGGTGCTAACAGGTCATGTTGCTTCATTTGATTTTTTAATTCTTTTCCTTATAATAAAACCGAGTACGCGGCAAATATCCAACCTGTCAAAGACTTAACTTAGCACTGCTGTACTCAAGCTTATATAAATAAACTAACGTTGTTTTGCCCTAAAATAAAAAAAAAAATAGGGGTGGACTACCCCTAACATTTAGGGGGATGAAAAATAGATGTTGGCCGATTTTCAGATCTACTCAATACGCTCACAAAATTTCATGAGAATCGGTCAAGCCGTTTCGGAGGAGTATGGGAACGAAAACTGTGACACGAGAGTTTTATATATAAGATATAGGTATTAAAAATTTGTATTTTTTTTATTAATTGACAATGAATTATACATATAAGTGCTAACAAGTCATGCGGCTCCATTTGATATTTTATTTATTTTTTCTTTATATCCAAAACAGAAGATGTGACGAATTTACAACCAGTCATGGACCTTACTTTAGCATTGGCATTCTCATCAACTTATATATAATGTTTTTTATGATGACTTTTTATGGGGGCTGCCTGAAAATCAGCGCTGTATTAATAATAATAATTTTTAATATTTTATTTATAATGTTTTTTATGATGACTTTTTAAGGAGGCTGCCTGAAAATCAGCGCTGTATTAATAATAATAATTTTTAATATTTTATTTACAATGTTTTTCATGATAACTTATTATGGGGACAGTTTGAAAATCAGCGCTGTATTAATAATAATAATTTTTAATATTTTATTTATAATGTTTTTCATGATGACTTTTTAAGGAGGCTGCCTGATATTCAGCGCTTTATTAATAATAATAATTTTTAATATTTTATTTATAATGTTTTTTATGATGACTTTTTACGGGGGCTGCCTGAAATTCAGCGCTTTATTAATAATAATAATTTTTAATATTTTATTTATAATGTTTTTTATGATGACTTTTTACGGGGGCTGCCTGAAAATCAGCGCTTTATTAATAATAATAATTTTTAATATTTTATTTATAATGTTTTTCATGATGACTTATTATGGGGACAGTTTGAAAATCAGCGCTGTATTAATAATAATAATTTTTAATATTTTATTTATAATGTTTTTTATGATGACTTTTTACGGGGGCTGCCTGAAATTCAGCGCTTTATTAATAATAATAATTTTTAATATTTTATTTATAATGTTTTTTATGATGACTTTTTACGGGGGCTGCCTGAAATTCAGCGCTTTATTAATAATAATAATTTTTAATGTTTTATTTATAATGTTTTTCATGATGACTTTTTAAGGAGGCTGCCTGATATTCAGCGCTTTATTAATAATAATAATTTTTAATATTTTATTTATAATGTTTTTCATGATGACTTTTTAAGGAGGCTGCCTGATATTCAGCGCTTTATTAATAATAATAATTTTTAATATTTTATTTATAATGTTTTTTATGAACTTTTTACGGGGGCTGCCTGAAATTCAGCGCTTTATTAATAATAATAATTTTTAATGTTTTATTTATAATGTTTTTTATGATGTGTTTTTACGGGGTTTGCCTGAAAATCAGCGCTGTATTAATAATAATAATTTTTAATATTTTATTTATAATGTTTTTTATGATGACTTTTTACGGGGGCTGCCTGAAATTCAGCGCTTTATTAATAATAATAATTTTTAATATTTTATTTATAATGTTTTTTATGATGACTTTTTACGGAGGCTGCCTGAAAATCAGCGCTTTATTAATAATAATAATTTTTAATATTTTATTTATAATGTTTTTTATGATGACTTTTTACGGAGGCTGCCTGAAAATCAGCGCTTTATTAATAATAATGATTTTTAATATTTTATTTATAATGTTTTTTATGATGACTTTTTACGGGGGCTGCCTGATATTCAGCGCTTTATTAATAATAATAATTTTTAATATTTTATTTATAATGTTTTTTATGATGACTTTTTACGGGGGCTGCCTGAAATTCAGCGCTGTATTAATCATAATAAATTTTAATATTTTATTTATAATGTTTTTTATGATGACTTTTTACGGGGGCTGCCTGAAATTCAGCGCTGTATTAATCATAATAAATTTTAATATTTTATTTATAATGTTTTTTATGATGACTTTTTACGGGGGCTGCCTGAAATTCAGCGCTGTATTAATCATAATAAATTTTAATATTTTATTTATAATGTTTTTTATGATGACTTTTTATGGGGGCTGCCTGAAAATCAGCGCTGTATTAATAATAATAATTTTTAATATTTTATTTATAATGTTTTTTATGATGACTTTTTAAGGAGGCTGCCTGATATTCAGCGCTTTATTAATAATAATAATTTTTAATATTTTATTTATAATGTTTTTTATGATGACTTTTTACGGGGGCTGCCTGAAATTCAGCGCTTTATTAATAATAATAATTTTTAATATTTTATTTATAATGTTTTTTATGATGACTTTTTACGGGGGCTGCCTGAAATTCAGCGCTGTATTAATCATAATAAATTTTAATATTTTATTTATAATGTTTTTCATGATGACTTATTATGGGGACAGTTTGAAAATCAGCGCTGTATAGGTGCACCTCATTGAGGTTGTGCTTATGTCAGCAACGGCTGAAACAGCTCCCATTGACAACTTTGTGATTTTTTTTTTATATTTGTGCATTTTATATCGTACTAAATATAAACACGAAAGTTTGTGAGTATGGATGGATGTTTGTTACTCTTTCACGCAAAAAATACTGAACGGATTTTGATGAAACAATATGGTAATATAGTGTATACATCAGAATAACACATAGGCTATAAATTAAAGAGATTTTATGTAAATTGTGCGAAATGTAATGTCAGGTAAGTCTGATGCAGATGAGGTTGTGAGGCTTAGCTAGTCTATACATATAAATAAAATTGGAGTGTCTGCTTGTAATATTGAAATAATCGTTTTTTACTACATGCATATGAATATAAATACGGTACATACACCAATATAACATTTTTTACAATTTTTGTCTGTCTGTCTGTTTGATCCGGCTAATCTTTGAAATGGCTGGACCGATTTTGACGGGACTTTTTTTGACAGCTGGTTGATGTGATAAGAAGTAATTTAGGCTACTTTTATTTTAGAAAAATGAAGTTAATCCTTACATATAAATAAAATTGGAGTGTCTATTTGTAATATTAAAATAACTGTTTTTTACTACATGCATATGAATATAAATACGGTACATACACCAATATATCATTTTTTACAATTTTTGTCGGTCTGTCTGTTTGTGCCGGGCTAAACTCTGAAATGGCGATTTTGACGGCACTTTTATTGGCAAGTAGCTGATGTAATAAGGACTAACTTAGGCTACGTTTTTTTAGAAAAAATAAAGTTAAACTCCACGCGGACGAAGTCGCGGGTGCAGCTAGTCTATCTATAACGCCAGTAATAAAAATATCGACTTACCTGTTATCCTGTGAGGTGACTGCCAATATGTATCAACTTTAACAAAGTACTAAACAATTCTCATCACATTTTCCTTATAGTTATTTGTGTCGGGAGCTTAAGCTTTACAAGAACCGGTCTAACGGGGCCCACGGTCGCAGAGTGACTTGTATGCGGGCAATTCCTAAAAATTCACGCACGATTCATCCTTTGTTACATAATAATCCATAATAATAGTATTCAGAAAGTTCCAATTTGAAAAGCTGCGAGTTTGCTCAACATTACATAGTATAAAACAAAGTCGCTGTCGCTGTCTGTCCGTACCTATCTATCTTTTAAACTACGCAACCGATTTTGAAGCGGTTATGTTTAATAGATAGAGTGATTCAAGAGGAAGGTTTATATGTATAATACATACATAGAAATTAACATCGCTATTAAAAAATAGGGGTTGGTGATAGAAGGGTGAAAATTTTAAGTTGTATGTATTTTTCAATGCTAAATCATACATACAAAAAAATTAAGTACAACATCGCTTTGCTTCCGTTGGTCGCGGGTTCGATTCCTCGCACGGTGCAAATATTATTCATAAAAAAAATATTAAATATTTATATCAGTTATCTAGTACCGATAGCATAAGCTTTGCTTAGCTTGGAGCTAGATGGCGCTGTGTGAATTGTTCTGAGATATTATTATTTAAATATACAAAAAAAAATTATCTATGTATTTATATTTACATTTAAAAAATCTAGAATTATACGGCATCTATGGTCTAGCGGTTTAGCACGTCTTGCTCCCGATGGTCGCAGCTTTGATTCCTTGTGGAAATATTTATCTTCTATATGTGAATGACTGTTTGTTACGGTATGGATATTTTCTATATAAAAAAGTATTTACGTATTTATATCAGTCGAGTACCCATAACACGAGCTCTTGGTACTAAATGACGGTGTGTGGGAACCTTTACTGTACTTACTACCTACTTACTTTACTGCACGGCCGATTTTTACCGATATAACTGTAATCGAAGTGACTCTTATTTAGGTCATGTGACAGACAGATACAAAGTTTGTACATTATATTAACATATGCTAATAAACGCACAGTTTTACCTTATATGTTAAACCGGCGCGGCAGTACAGATCCGTTTTATTAAGTATTTGCCGCATTCTTAACAATAAAAAATAACAGGAAAACTGGAGATGAAATAGTTATAAATAATAATAATAATAATCTCAGGATTATTCACACAGCGCCATCTAGACTCAAAGTAAGCTAGCTAAAGCTTGTGTAGTAGTAGCTGGTAGTAGATAGCTGCGGAAGAAGAAAAGCAGTAGAGGTGCACCTTGGGGTTTTAGATGGTAGGAGTACGGCAGTAGCCGCTCGTTACCCCTGGAGTTACTACATAACTGATACAAATACTTTTTTTCGTAATACTATATTATACATAGAAAACACCCAGACCGATACAATCATACTGAGGAATACAAATTTTTGTGCTGTGCGAGGAATCGAACCCGCGACCATCGGACGTAAATTGTGCTAAACCACCAGAACAGCGAGTCTTCAAATATTGTTAAAGAATAATGGAATTGATCTTACTAATATTACAAAAAGGACTGAAGGGTATTGTTTTTTTTATTGGGTAGTTTGGTCAGTCTTCATGTGATGATTCTGCGTTCCGAATGAGTAGTAGAATCAAAAATATGACTATTCAAAAGTGCTTGTATTGAGTTTATAAGAACACATAAATACATCCCCATTGATGTACCATGTCAGGTGGAACTCCACCCGTTTCCCCTGAATACCACGATAAATTCCTGGTGAATTTGTCACGATGGGCCAGCTGACCTGAACTTATGTTCATCTTGTCATCCTCCACTGGTGCCTCGCCAACAATCCCTCGTTTCGTAGTATTGTAATTTACTAAGTTGTGTCGATATACATATGTGTGTACACGCAAGTCTGCGTCTGATGGTATATATGATAAAATAACCCTGAATAATTCTTAGATATATTATTTAATGTTGTAACTAATCCTGAATAATGTTTATATTATATATATTTAAGTTTGTTATTGTCAATTTTTATGTTTACTTTGTTAGTCGTAGTTTAAAACTTAATATGTTATCGTCGTCGTTGATCTCACATTGTATTTTACTGATAAAGGCTATAACAGAATAGCAGAGAGGGTGGACTCACTGCCCTCACTGAGTTATAGACCGTTTTGTCTCATTCATTAGTTTTAAATTATATTATTCTATGGGGAATAGTTGTATTGTGTAAAAAGTTTCTGTTTGAGACAAATAAAGATTATTATTATTATTTATTTTTTCTCAGCTATTGCTGGTTTTCTCCACACTTACGGGCCGAAACCAAGTAAGTGCAGAGTGTGTGTGTGTGTGTGTGCGTGTATGTATGTGTGTGTGTGGGGTTACTTATTGTGTGCCTGGTGTGACTGGTGTTATATCATTTTCATCGATTTCTAGAAATTTTCGGACTGTACGACAAGTATTTAAGATGGCAGCTTTTTGAAGGGTGATGTAAAGTGTTTTTTGTATATCTAATTGTTTCAGGCTATGATGTAGGTGTTTGGGTATGATACCTGTAGATGAGAGGACTATGGGTATTATATAAACGTTTTCCTGTTTCCAAATTCTTGTTACTTCTTCCTTTAGCTCTGCATATTTGTTTATTTTTTCAGCAATTGTCTTCTGGAGATTGTGGGTATTAGGAACTGCAATATCTATGAGGTAGGTTTTTTTATTTACTTTATCGTGTAGTATTATGTCTGGTCTGTTATTATTATTATTATTATCAGCGTATTATCACCATTCAATTTACATCTATTTAAAAAAAACTAGGAAGCTACCTCTCTTTGTGGATGCATATCAAAAAAGTTTTGTCTTACTTTTAAACATGATATTTTAATTATATGCATACTAGCTTTTGCCCGCGGCTTCGCTCGCGTTAATTTATCCCCTTAGGGGTGGTATTTATCAAAATCCTTTCTTAAGGGATGCCTACGTCATAGTAGCATTATGCATGCAAGGTCTCAGCCCGATCGGTTTAAAATTGACAAAGTTTCATACAAACTTTAAACCCCTATTTTGTCCACTTGGGGGTAGAATTTATCAAAATCCTTTCTTAGCGGATGCCTACGTTATAACATCTACCTGCATGCCAAATTTCAGCCCGATCCGTCCAGTGGTTTGGGCTGTGCGTTGATAGATCACTATGTCAGTCAGTCACCTTTGAGTTATATATATTAGATAGGTGTAATAATAAAACTCGAGTTTTCGAACAAGTTTTATATTTCGTAGAAAATATTTTAATACAATTTACATTTATATTACATAGTTATGACATACATTTTCGTCAATAGTTACATTCCTTGCAATCACCAAACCAATATGGCGGACTGATTTCTTTTTATTTTTCACGGCTCTGGATACAGATCATTTTTATAAACAGTGCTGTTAGATTACAGACTAGCTTTCACTTCAACGTTGTCAAAAATTCTAACCTAGCATCACTGTTTAATAAAGTGAATTTGGCGCCAACTCATTTCCGCCATCTTGGATACGTGAACACTAATGTACATTCATACATAATAATAATAAATATTTAAATAGTAAATATTACTAATGTTAATACAAAAATTTAATATCTACCGTATCAAAATATACTTTTATCACATTTCTCACAAACATTTTAGAGTATTCGGCCTCTAGCTTAGAGAAGGAATGCTTGAAAATTACATAGAATACAAAAAACAACTGTACTTCAATATTCACCCCGAAAATAAAATTTAAAATGAAAATTCTAGAACATTCTCATGTCAAACAGTCACATGAGCTTAGCAACGCATTTGATCTATCACATCAAAACATCCTTAAAGCTAAATATTTAACACTATATGTTGTACTTACAATATATGACAAACATACTGAAATGTCCAGATGAATAACAAAATATGAAAAATTCACAAAATATTCTTTATAAAAATAATATGCATCGTAGAATTCCTTAGGAACATAAACGTCAAACCCTGAATAATTCACACAGCGCCATCTAGTCCCAAAACTGAGCAGATCTGTATTATAGGTACTAGCCTACTGGTAGACATAATATACATAGCAAAACATCCAAACATACTTACTGACTATTTATATAGCGCGGAGATTGAACCCGCAATCATTGGTAGGAAGGCAGTATCTTATAACAATACAGCATAATGACATATCATTACATAATATAAAACAAAGTCGCTGTCGCTGTCTATCCCTATGTATGCTTAAATCTTTAAAACTACGCAACGGATTTTAAAGCAGTTTTTTAAATAGATAGAGTGACTCAAGAGGATGGTTTATATATATAATAGATGTACACCCGTGCAAAGCCGGGGCGAGTAGCGAGTCTATTATAAAAAATTGAATATTTTGTTTTCGTTGAGCATTATTAAAAATTAATGTAAATTGTATAAATTATTGTAAATATTATTAAAAAATATTACTATTGTAAAATGAGCGATATTTGTAAATAATTGTTGGCCATTAATCTGAGCTTTGTAGAAATTATTGGAGAAACTTGTTAAGTTTTATTTAACTATAGTAATTATATTTGGAAACACTGCAAACACTAAATATCCATTCTAGTAAAACATACCTCTTCAACAAGCCACAATATTACATATCTGTCGCTGTACTAGAAAATATCTTACTTCACCAATAATGACATCTTCACATAGCGCAACCTCTCCCACACTTGGCAAAGAAGAAGACACGTGTGAGAAAAGAAGAGAAAAGAAAAGAAACATAAAAAAAATAGTAATATCCCTAGACAATTCACACAGCGCCATCTAATCCCAAGTTAAGCAAACCTTGTGTTATGTTACTAAACAACTGATATAATACATAGATTTTTTTTGTAAATACATCATATACATAGAAAACACAACCGGTACAAACAATCATACTCATGAATACAAAAATTTGTATCGTGTGAGGAATCGAAGTTCTATTACATTATTATCATAATAATTCACACAGTGCCATCTAGACCCAAGATAAGCTAGCTAGCTTAATTTGGGTCTAGATAGCGCTGTGTGAATTGTCCTGAGATTATTATTATTATTATTATTCTAGCTTAACTTGGGTCTAGATGGCGCTGTGTGAATTGTCCTGAGATTATTATTATTTATAGTTCTTTTATAGTACTTTCTCATTTGTACGTCAATATTTTGACAATCGTCTCCTAATATATAAGCTTGTGTTATGGGTACTAGATAACTGATACAAATACATAGATATATATCTTTTCGTAAATACATACATATCATATTATAATAAATCAATAAAAATTATTATTGTCAAAAAAAAAATTGTGACAGTTTGTAGTAGGCGAAAAAATGCTGTGTGTTAAACCGATAAACCACCGGGGCAGTCATATAACTAAACACCTAAATATATAAGGTAACTTTATATACAAATCGTTCGTTCGCTCTTAAAATCTAATAATTCGGGATATAAACAAAATAAAACAAATATCTTTACGTAGTATAAGGGGCCGTTCAAGTATTACGAGCTCTTCTCCGAAACTATCGGATATCCGATATATCAAGAATATTCGTAACCGTAAACGAATCCGAAATAAGAGTTTCGGATAATATCGGATAGTCCCATTATTGTGTAATTATTTATTTACAATAACTTTTATTGAAAAGAGCAACACTCAAGTGACGCAGTTGGAATCGAGCCACAACGCCCACCAACATGCTGCCCATCTTCATGAAGGAGGACTACTGGCCGAAGGGGGTTGTGTATTTCGTGGCAGATTGCCGTGCCAGTGCCGTGACCATAGAGACAATTTTATTTACATATTTTATTATTATTTCTTATATATGTTAGTCTATAAGGTATTTATAATATGGGCCATGTAGCCTGAATTAAATAAATAAATAATTGTAATAAATCTGCTTACGTAATACTTGAACGGCCATAAAATTTATTGCTCATTCTTGTGATGAGTCTGCGTTCCGAATGAGTAGAATCTATACATATAAATAAAATTGGAGTGTCTGTTTGTAATATTTAAATAACCGTTTTTTACTACACGCATATGAATTTAAATACGGTACATAGGTACACCAAAAAAACATTTTTTTACCATTTTTGTCTGTCTGTCTGTTTGTTCTGGCTAATCTCTGAAATGGCTGGACCGATTTTGACGTAATTTATTTTGTCAGGTAGCTGATGTAATAAGGAGTAACTTAGGCTACTTTTATTTTAGAAATATAATGTTCAAACGGATGAAGTCGCGTGTACAGCTAGTATGACGTAAAACTAGACCACAATATGTTTATTTTCGGTACAAGGTAATTTTCATTCAACTTTCAAGAGACATTTATATACTCAACTATATTTTTTTTTTAATTGTTAACTCACTTAATCTCAGTCAAAAATCGATTCGTAAATTTTTTTATATATATTTCACTAAACTTATTATAATATTATTTGTACCGCCAACAACTTATCTCTGCACAACTCATGGTTGCCTGGTAGAAAGTGCCACTAGGTGTTAAGTCCGCCATATGTACTTTTTACTTTATGTAAGTCGAGCATTAAAGTTATTTAAATAAAAATGAAATTAAAGAATAAACTCCTTTCTTTGTGACATTTCGTTATATATATAACTTCTAGTATATATAACAATTTTATCATATTAACACGTTAAACGCCATTGTAAAAATGACCTAAAAATATATTTTTTTTTAATGAAAAAAAATCCCTTTATGACATTGAAACGTAATTTTTAATTTTGGATTGAAATTTTCCATTTCTGTCACCATTGACCATCGTGGTGATATGTGACAAAAAACCACATTTTCTATTCGTGTGCGCGATTTTTTTCGGACTACTCTAATGCTGTTGTCCGCAGCTGGCCTTTATAGCTTCACCGGACGATAGGGGGCGAGTGCAGATGGCACTCCAAACCAGAGGAAGGACTTATGGAGCGGCTGAAGGCCAACTCCCGCCTGACGGATACGACTGTAGTCTGAGGGCACCACTAGGGGTTCGAACCTCGGCTCAGGCCGTCGTAACATCGGTCCCCGTTTGAATTGATCATGAGAGAGTATTGTTGTTGAGCGCCGCTCCAGTCATTCTATTACTAGAAATATATGAAAAAATGACGAGCCGGCACTCAAGACATCTCTAAAGTGAGGTCACAGACTACTATTGATATTACTCTGTGGTTGTGCGCACTGATAACAACAATTTAATAAATAGACCCCTCGCAGTTGGCAATTATTTGATAGTTTATTATTTTTAAGAATTGTTCCGATTAGTTTGTAATAATGGGGTTGACATGTCTGTACACGACGGAATCAATTAGAAAGTAATTAGTATAATAAGTCATCATCAATAATATATATAATAGTGTCTTTTATTGCCCTAGATATAAGTAATTAGTATAAGCAAAATTTGTATATAAGTAAGATCATTTTGTTAATAATAATAAATCACGCGCAACGTACAGTTGCAGTAGGGAAGGCCACCCGTCGGGCGTCTATATAAAGAGCGCGGACCGCATTCACTGGCGAGACAGCGACCCGATAGGTGCCTTCCTACTAAGTGCAAACAACTGAGCATTTTTACTTCGCCGTCCGACCATACAACCAGGGATCCTAGTACATAGTCCTGTCACCATCAATGTCTAAAAACAAAAACCCCAAATAAATTTAGATAAAAAAAAAGGTCATGCGGCGCAAAGATCCAGACATTATGAGGTCACTGGAGACCTGGCGTTTAACGTGTTAAGAATCACTTTGCCACATATATATCGTAGGTACTAATGTATAATAATATATATTTACTCGAATACATAAATTGATGTTTTGACACGTACAAAATCAACTTCGGACATGTCCAAACATGTTAATGTGGGTAGTACCAACATATTAATTATAGGTATGGTTTATTTTATATACAATATACTATAAATGCAGTTCACGATGCCATATCCTGTGGCACCTTCGCTTTCTTTTCACTTGCGACATATATCTGAAAAAAAAAAAGAATTTTTAATTAAATTTATAACTGAACAATTCACAGCGCCTAGTAGCTACTAGACAACTAATACAAATATACTTAGATATTTTATTTTTGTACATAGTTTACAAATGTATATTGAAGTGTTTAAATTTAAGTTTATCAATATTATACAGAGGAAAAGTTTGTTTGTTTGTATGTTTGTATTGAATAGGCTCCGAAACTACTGGACCGCTTTGAAAAATTCTTTCACCATTAGGAAGCTACGCTATCCCTGAGTGTCATAGGTTATATTATATTTCCAAAAAATTTAGGGATCCTTACGAAATCTCTGATAACCAAGGTGTAAAAAAATTACACAAAAAATACCTAACACCGCATGCGCTGTGAAAACGATTGATGATAACAAAATGATGTACGACAACGAGGCTGTCGCACGACTAATGCGACAAATATAGATTGTACGGTAACAATATGCATGGCTAACTTTGAGATTGTGATTCAACACAAAATACAACTTATTACTATCACAATAAAGTACTTAATAGAGTCTTCAACTTACGACAACGAGGCTGTCGCGCGATTAATGCGACAAATATGGATTATACGGTAACAACATGCATGGCTAACTTTGAGATTGAGATTAAACATAAAATACAACTTATTACTATTGCAATAAAGTGCATAATAGAGTCTTCAACTTACGACAACGAGGCTGTCGCACGACTAATGCGACAAATATAGATTGTACGGTAACAACATGCATTGGTAACTTTGAGATTGAGATTAAACACAAAATACAACTTATGCCTATTACAATAAAGTGCATAATAGAGAGTCTTGAACTTACGACAACGAGGCTGTCGCACGACTAATGCGACAAATATAGATTGTACGGTAACAACATGCATTGGTAACTTTGAGATTGAGATTAAACACAAAATACAACTTATGCCTATTACAATAAAGTGCATAATAGAGAGTCTTGAACTTACGACAACAAGGCTGTTGCACGACTAATGCGACAAATATGGATTGTACGGTAACAACATGCATTGGTAACTTTGAGATTGAGATTCAACACAAAATACAACTTATTACTATTAGAATAAAGTGCATAATAGAGTCTTCAACTTACGACAACGAGGCTGTCGCGCGACTAATGCGACAAGTATGGATTGTACGGCGGTTGCTTCACGTCGGGTCCAGACGGCGTCGACGATGCGACGCGTACTACGTCATCGTACGATGGCGGATGCGCTGTAAATAGAATAAAGATTTTTTTTTAATTTCTTTTAAGGCGTGGAAGGCAAGATTGGTCCATATCTAATATATAAAATTCACGTTTCATAATATTGGTTACCATACTCCTCCCAAATGGCTTGATCAATTTTTATGAAATTTTATTTGCATATTCGGTAGGTCTGAGAATCGTCTACTATCTATTTTTCATACCCCTAAGTGGTAAGGGTTATCCACCCCTAAATATATATATTTTATTATTATTTGGGATTGAAAAATACATACAACCCTAAATTTTCACCCTTCTAGCATCAACCCCTATTTTTTACTGACTAAATGTTTAACATTTTTAATATTTTTTTCCTGAAAACACGTGTAACTAAGCCTTACAGTTAGTATCTGAATCACGCATTGTTTTCTTAAACTGAACAAATATGATAAGAGATAATACGCCACTTTTCAGTTCATGCGTCATATAGTAGGGATTTCTTTTAATGAATATGCTCACCTACTGCTGTATCTTTTATTTGATTACTAAATTCGTGTCTTAGTGGATAATATGATAATGACATAATAAGTCGCGGTTTGGTTGCCGAAGAGTCAACACTAGGCTTCCAAGCTATATCCGAACTCTTCAACGCCTGATGATACCTCGTTCAGAGGCGAAACACGACGTAATATGGGTGTAGACTAAATAACAGTCAAATTCAAATTCAAATTCAAAATTCAAATGTATATATTCATGTAGGACATTTTAGCCGCTTATGAACGTCAAATTTTTACATTCTAATTTTATTTTTTTCCTACCGTCCAGTTCGGTATATAGATCCAATTGAGAAGAACTGGCAAGAAACTCAATTGAATTACTTTTTTTTTAAAAGGCAGTTTCTTTTTAAATTTATGTTTATATAGGTGTCTATGTCTAACATTAAATGAAAATTCAGTGCATGAACAACTATTGCCATGCACGCTCGTCATCACCATACAAGTAATCGTTTACTAAGTAATAGGCTTTGCACTGTACATATGATTTAACAGATGTTATTTAAGGGTAACTCCAGTATATCCTTCGGTATTTTATTGTAAATTTTTATACCTATTCCCATAAAAGACCTATTAACTTTTTCTAAACGATACATGGGGACAGCAAGTTTGTCTTTAAATCTAGTATTAATATTATGAATATTGCTGTTTTTTGGAAATAAGTCAAGATTTTTATTAACATAAAAGTACATAAAAGTCGGAATTTGATCGCAATTAGAGAAGGTCGTAAAGGTACTCAAGTTTCCACACTCAATAGGTATATGTGGTCTCACACATGCTAAATGTAGCGGAATTAAACAAAATAATATAAACCCATTAAGTAGTGTTGTGGAATTTTGCCTATAAATGCCGTTAGGAAACCTAATTAATCGGATAGACGGTAATAGACTAGGGTGCTAGCTGATATGGTGGATTCAAATCTAGATACTGGAAGAAAGAGGATTGTAAGTAATGTGGCCTGATGATCTCAATGCTAGCAATGTACCATGTCAGAATGACCTTACGGTTCCCTCTAGAAACCATAGTGTTAAATTCACCACGAATTTGTCACGATGTGCTAACTGACCTGGCCTCATCTTATCATCCTCCACTGCTGCCCCGCCAGCGTAAACAGTTAGAGCAGGCGAGTGCACCATTCCATTATCATCCATAAAAATGGATGAGTAATTAACAAAAACAAATGAGTAACAAATGAGTACCTAACTCATCGAAATGTGGACATGTCAAGTGTTGCATTTACCACAACATCGACAGCTTTTTAAATATAATTAATTATTATTAAGTTATCCTTATTATAATTAATTATATTCATAATAATCAATTAATTCACACAGTGCCATATAGTCCCAAGCAGACATTAGAATAGAATAGAATAGGATAGAAAATCATTTATTCAAATAAACTTAATTTAAGCACTTTTGAATAGTCAACATTTTTTTAAATCTACCGCTTATTCAGAAAGCTGTCTCATCACAAGAAGAATAAGCAAGAAACTTGTGTGTTGCTCTTTTAAACAATCCTTATAAGTTCACATTTTACAAGTCGAAACGTGTGAATACAAACTACCAACCAGCACTAATTTATTTAGGCTCAAATATAAAAACACAATAAGATTAAATCCCTCCCTATAATCCCAGTCCCTCGTTCACGAGTATGACGGATGAGTATGACGGATATTATGTTATGGGTACTAGACAATTGACATAAATACTAATTTCTTTTTACAATACTTAGATATTTATCTCATTTGATTAGTCTAATATCCATAAGCAATATTCAGCTTGGGACTAGACGATGCTATGAAAATTGTCCTTGTACATTATTTTATATATAATATTCTCGTGTAACAAGGTTAGTTAGTATACTCCTCGAAACGGATTGACCGACTTTTATGAAATTTTATATGCACATTCAATAGGTCTGACAATCGGCTATTATCTGTTTTTCATACCCCTCAGCATTTAGGGTTGTCTACCCCTAACATTTATTTTTTGGTAATTTTTTAATTATTGTATAATGTGACATTACGGTGATAAAAACAACTTAATAAATAGATTCATCGCAGTTGGCAATTATTTGATTGTTTATTATTTTTAAGAATTGTTCCGATTAGTTTGCAATAATGGGGTTGACATGTCTGAAAACAAAAACCCCAAAATAAATCTAAATTAAAAAAAATGTGACATTGAAAAACCCCAAATTTTCTCCCTTCTACCATCAACCTCTATTTTTTAATAGCGATTTTAATTGATATGGCAAAACGTTTGCGTCAGCTAGTATTATATAAATAAATAACAATGAACATAGCGCCATCTAGTCCCACGGTAAGCAGAGCTTGGTTACTAGACAACTCATATAAATACTAGGATATTTTTTTTTTGTAAATACATAGAAAACACCCAGACAAACAATCATACTCATGAATACAAATGTTTGTACCATGACAACCGCTAGCTATCCGTGAAAATATCTCTGTCTACCTCTTCTACGTTTAGTCGTGAAGAATATACGTTTATTCAGTACCTTGAGTATTCCATCCAGGTGTCGGCATCCCATAAAATGCTTGCGTGTTAAAAATAATTTAAAAACACGTTAAATTTATTTATTTACGTTGCTTTACACAATTATGGTATGCAATCAAAGAATTGAAATAGTTGTGGAATGAACCTAAAGGACTTGGTAACAAAACTCTTGATCACTATGACTTATTTTCTCTTATTAATTGTTTAACCAGTTGTTGTATATTGAATGTTTTTTCTATTTTATTATTTCATTGACTTAGTCCTAATCGGTGGTTTGTATTCACACACTTAAACTTAAATTGTAAGTAAGAATAAATTTAAAAGAGCAACACACAAGTTACTTTCCGAATGAGCGGTAGATTAAAAAAAAAAAAAAAATGCTTCAATAAACTATTATTTGAATAAAGATTTGCTTCAATGTAAGTTTATTTGAAGCTTAACGTATAAACTTAAACTATAACGTATAAATTATAAAAAAAAATCGTTTGTAGTCAAAGCTATTAGTTATAAAGCATTCATGGGTATTTTGTGAATTATTTGTTTTGTTACCAAGTCCTCTATATAAAAATATAGACATTCAACAAATTGAATTGTATATTTTTTTTAAAATCACAATATGAAAGACATACATATATAAGTCAAAATTATTGTAATCTATCTTTTTTTAATAATGATTTTCTAAAGACGCTGAATACCCCTGGTGTTTCAGGGATACGGTAACCATTTACCATTTTTTTGATTGCCACCATCGTAGTATAAAAAAAAATTAAAAGGTTTCTAGAAGATATTTCTATTAAGCGATAACGCAAATCATTAATATCATGTGTTATTCATTACAATGATACGAGTGTTATCTTTTATCTATAAACTATTAAGCTTTTTGCAGTTGGTTGTATATTTATGATATGCAGTCTCGTCCGATCGTTCGTTCCATTAAAATTGTAATACATTTACATCCTGCATCATCCCTTATTTTTCATATCAAAATCCTATTTACGTCTTCATCATCCAATCCTAAGAAGATTTATTTTATCCCCTATTTTATCTGGAGGGGTGGAATATATCAGAATTAGGGGATGCCTACGTCATAGTAGCTTTATGCATGCAAAGTCTCGTCCGATCGGTTTAAAATTGACAAAGTTTCATACATACTTTCATCCCCTATTTTATCTCCTTAGGGGTGGAACTTATCAAAATCCTTTCTTAGGGGATGCCTACGTCACAGTAGCTTTATGCATGCAGTCTCGACCGATCGGTTTAAAATTGACAAAGTTTCATACTTACTTTCATCCCCTATTTTATCTCCTTAGGGGTGGAATTTATCAAAATCCTTTCTTAGGGCATGCCTATGACATATCATAGTAGCTTTATGCATGCAGTCTCGTCCGATCGGTTTAAAATTGACAAAGTTTCATACTTACTTTCATCCCCTATTTTATCCCCTTGGAGGTAGAATTAATGCGAAGTGCTAACCGCAGCAAGATACGATGCTGTGGGTATTAGGAGATAAGGAATGTAAAGAGTACTGACCGTAGGCTTCCGGCGCGTTGGGCGCGGGGTGCGGGTACGGAGCCCCGGTGGGGTACGGTGCGGCGACCACGTGCGGCGGCCCGGGCTGCGGCATCGCCTGCGGGTACGGACTCACTGCAACAAAAGAAATCATCATAAGTACACCGATTTCATTAAATGTTTAATCGAATTAGCACTAATCACTTACCGTCAGGCGACGACCTCGGTGGTCTAGCGGTTTAGCACACCGCTTTACGACCGATGGTCGCGGGTTCGATTCCTCGCACGGTACAAACATTTGTATTCATGAGTATGATTGTTTGTATCGGTCTGGGTGTTTTCTATGTATAATATGTATGTATTTATAAAAAAAATATCTATGTATATGTACCAGTTATCGAGAACGCATAACACAAACTTTGCTAGCTTAACTTGGGTCTAGATGGCGCTGTGTGAATTGTCAGGTGAGAATCGCGCGTGAAAGAGCGTACGATACGGTTGTTTGGGCTATTGTCAGATGTTTGTAGCAACTGTAACACTGCGACCTACATAGATTATTGTGCTCGCCCTTTTTCAAAGTTTGCTGTCTAGACTTGTCAGGGACAAGAATTGAAGGATACTCTTAGGAGTGATGGTTTTTATCTCCTCAGGTAAACTTTCCAAAGGAGATATTTCTTTTATACATGAGTGGGCTACAACCACATAGGATGTGTAGTGGCGTTTCCTCTTCAGTTTGGCAAAATTGCCGACTTAAGTCTTTCTTAACACGTAGGCTCTTTCACGCGTAAAAAGTCTTCCACGCAGAAAAGAATGTGCCTGAGCCCACGCACACAGAGAGCGGTCAGGAGTTCCGAGTTCCGCGTTCGGCGTTCGGCGTTTATAAGAATGTACCGAGTCTATAACAATGCACACAGCGGGCAGTCTGACCGCGGCGATCAAAGCGGAACTTCGCGTTCCAAGAGTTCTTTTCCCGTTAAGACAGGGAACGCTGGAACGCCGCGATGTCTGAGTTTGGAAACACGGAAAAGTTGATTGAATTGGTTAGGGAAAGGAGTTTATTATACGACTAGCTTTTGCCCGCGGCTATGCCCGCGTTAATTTATCCCCTTAGGGGTGGAATTTATCAAAATCCTTTCTTAGGGGATGCCTACGTCATAGTAGCTTTAGGCATGCAAAGTCTTAGCCCGATCGGTTTAATATTGACAAAGTTTCATACAAACTTTCATCCTCTTGGGGGTAGAATTAATCAAAATCCTTTCTTAGCGGATGCCTATGTCATAACATCTACCTGCATGCCAAATTTCAGCCCGATCCGTCCAGTCGTTTGGGCTGTACGTTGATAGATCACTACGTCAGTCACCTTTGAGTTATATATATTTATATTAAGTGATATAGACAATAAAAACCGCAAAATTCGCCTTGTTCTTTTCGCGTTGTGCTAATTGGGTGCACCCAATACTTCCATTTCTTTTTAGAAGCTGCTATGCTCCACAAGAGCAATAATTCTTCATCGGATGACGAACTTTCCAGTGACATGCTGCAAGTGCAAAGACCCAAACGAAACTAGAACGCGAGAATTTGCACGCGCTATGTGTGTTGGAACTCTTGGGTGGACAACGGTCATTAGAACGCAGAACTCTGACCGCTCTATGTGTGCGTGGGCTCTAAATGTAGACGTAATGTAAAGAGAACGAGAAAGACCGCACGTGCATACAGTGAGCACATTCCTGCTTGTTTCAATCGTGCGTGCTTTATCGCTGATCAATTCAAAATGGAGGACATCTGATTATACGACAATTATAGAGTTATCAGCTGTGCCCGCGACTTCGCGCAGCACACGCAATGGAAGCACTCAAATATTTTCCCCGTTTTTGCAACATTTTTCACTGATGCTTCGCTTAGAATAGAATAGAATAGAAAATCATTTATTCAAATAAACTTAATTTAAGCACTTTTGAATAGTCATAACAATTTGTTTTTTATCTACCACTCGTTCGGAAAGCTGTCTCATCACAAGAAGAACGAGCAAGAAACTTGTGTGTTGCTCTTTTAAATAATCCTTGTAAGTTTACATTTACAAGTCGAAACGTGTGAATACAAACTACCAACAAGCACTAATTTTTGGGTCAAATATAAATATGCAATAAGATTAAATCAATCGCAGTGATAAGAGCAGACCAGTCCTTACAAGCAGCACTCGTTCACGAGTATGACGGATGAGCCAGCCATCACTGCGCTCGACCATATTTTAGGGAGCCCATTGACCCGGCCCACCACGCCGCCACATGTCTGGACATTTTAGTGAGCATGACTACTCATTCCACACGACCACGTCACAGCTACAAAATTTACTATATGGTAGTTACAGTATTCGCACTTTACATAAGGATGCTTCTATTGGTTGTGTGTTGTATAGCTTAAAGACTTCCTCGACAAATGGACTATTCAACAAAAGAATTTTTCAATTCGAATCAGTAGTTCCTGAGATTAGCGCGTTCAAACAAACAACTTAGTCGAAACGTCGAAAGAGCTGATTACATTTATTTGCCATAAAATATTTTCGTGTTAAAACGGGTCACGATACTAAAATTTTTTCTGTGAATAGTTTCTTTTAATTTTCGTGTTTAATATACATTATTTATATAATTAAATTGTAAAGAAAATTTAAAAAAACTATTCACAGTAAAGAAATCATAGTTTCTTCATCATTTACACACATAAATAAAATTGGAGTGTCTGTTTGTTATATTGAAATAATCTTTTCTAACTACACGCATATGAATATAAATACGGTACATACACCAAAATAACATTTTTTACAATTTTTGTCTGTCTGTCTGTCGATCTGTTTGTTCCGGCTAATCTCTGAAATGACTGGACTTTTTTTGGCAGGTAACTGATGTAATAAGGAGTAACATAGGTTACTTAAATTTTAGAAAAATGATTTTATCTTAGTAAAATAAAATATAATTCCACGCGGACGAAGTCGCGGGAGCTAGTGAGGCATATAGTCCGCTATATATACCATTTTGTTTAAGAGTACATACCTGGATATGGTGTCACGATGTGGTTGTACTGCTGTTGTGGATATGGTACTTGGACAGTCACCGTCGACTGTACGGGCACGGCGGGAGCTGCGAAAAAACATACTTACTGTTACACGGGCCAGTTTTTCTTTGTTATCTAATTTTTTATTATCTTCTGAATCAACAAAACGGTCTTTCATTGCTTATTAAATATTTCTTTTATTATTATTATGTATTGTATATATTATAGTAGGTATATATTTATATTTATGTATGTATATTTATAAGTATTTTTGAAGATCTATTTACCTACACTCCAATTTTATTTATATGTATAGAACATATAAATAAAATTGGAGTGTCTGTTTGTAATATTCAAATAACCGTTTTTTACTACATGCATATGAATATATATACAGTACATATACCAATATATATATTTTTATAATTTTTTCTGTCTGACTGTCAGTCTGTTTGTTCCGGCTAACACCTGAAATGGCTAGACCGATTTTAACGGTACTTTTTTGGCAGGTAACTGATGTAATAAGGAGCAACTTAGACTACTTTTATTTTAGAAAAAAATTTTTATGTTAGAAAAATAATGTAAAAACACGCTGCCACTCGCGCTGCCTTTGACGCGCGCGTGGTATTTATCCACGCGGACGAAGTCGCGGGAACAGCTAGTGATAAGTAAAATTATGGATGTGTCTTTTCCCACCACTGGCCATCAACCGCTTTCTGTTCTTACCTAATGGTTAACTGGTTGAGAATGCCATATGGCATTAAGCTCGCCAAATTGTACAATTTGAATTGCAATAAAGAAGTGCCTTCGAATCAAATTTCGTTTCAATTTCAAGATGATCTCAGAGGTTTATCATGATATTTTAACAACAATACAAATTTGTGCATTTTTTCGAATTCAAAATATCTTTATTAATGTAGATGTATTAACTCTTATGATATGTCAAATCTACCGGCTAGATTTCGAGATGAGAAGAACTGACAAGGAAAACAGCTCGTATTTTTTTCTAATAAATGTGAAAATAATTATAATATATCCCAAAATATTTTTATTCATGTAGGTCTATTTCAGACTCTTATGATATGTCAAATCTACCGTCAGTTCGGAATGATTTTGAGATGAGAAGAACTGACAAGAAACTCAGCTCGTATTTTTTTCTAATAAATGTGAAAAAAATTATAATATATCCTCATGAATCACTCTATCAATTGCTGACAACATTACATTCTGTTGTGTAATTTAAAGATAAAGCGAAAGATAAAGAAAAGGAGCTTCCGGCTCACCAGATGGTGAGTGATTATGCCCAATTTACACTCAGCCCGAGTGGGCAGGGAAGTGAGCAGCGCGAGAGTGTAAACACGAATGGAAACACTTCCCATGCCATTGGCGCTGCCACTCGGCATTCCCTCGATTGTCGGTTTTTCGTGCGCGAGTCAAAGGACTGGCAGCGCGAGTGGCAGCGTGGTTTACATTCAGTCCTCTCGCTCAGTTGTCGCCCGGCAATATTTCTGGCAGCGCGAGTGGCAAGGGAAGCGGCTGAATGGAGCACCCTCAACTACTACCAGTGGTTAGAATAGAATAGAATAGAAAATCATTTATTCAAATAAACTTAATTGAAGCACTTTTGAATAGTCAAAATTTTTTTTAATCTACCGCATATTCGGAAAGCTGTCTCATCACAAGAAGAATAAGCAAGAAACTTGTGTGTTGCTCTTTTAAACAATCCTTGTAAGTTCACATTTTACAAGTCTAAACGTGTGAATAAAACCACCAACCAGCACTAATTTCTGTTCTGACTGCCAATGATTAAGATTGTCATGCTTACGAGCTAACACCTGTCCCCTGTTACGACGGTTGCAGCATCTGCACAGCAGTACTATGAGTATGATGATGCCCACCACCGAAGCCACTATGATCACCACTTCCATCCTGCCGATGGCGGTAGAATCCTGCAAACAACATTGCAACATGAGTCCAACAACAACATTGCAACAAATGAGTGCGGCTAAGGCAATTTGTTCACTGGTGAGGTATGACAACCTGACATGTACTTAGATGGTACAAAAGTACCCTAAATTAAAAAAGAAATAAAAAAAAAAACTCCTACAAGTACTACACACATGACGAGCATATGAGAGCAATTATTAAATTTATTTTTAGGTAAGGTCCAAGATGCTGACGTATATACAGAAGACTTGCCTTCCATCTTATATATAAAATTCTCGTGTCACAGTTTTCGTTCCCATACTCCTCCGAAACGGCTTGACCGATTCTCATGAAATTTATAGCGTATTGAGTAGGTCTGAGAATCGGCCAACATCTATTTTTCATCCCCCTAAATGTTAGGGGTAGTCCACCCCTAATTTTTTTTTTATTTTAAGGCAAAACAACGTATGTCGGGACTGCTAGTATATATATATATATATATATAAACCTTTAGTATTTGTATGTATTTGTTTTTAGTATTCATATAATATTCAACTCTCTTTTTGTAGTGCGCCACCTACGTTTCTCTCACCCAATACTTTTATCTCCCAGGTTGTCTGTAAGATATCGCATTGAGCAATAAGACCGCCTTTTGTTCGAATATTTTTCTTTCTTTCTTTATTGTAATTGTTTTTTTTTATACACAACAAAGAGTTTTTATTATTATGATAATGACGTATTATTATGATAATGATGACATAAAAAAATGTTCTTTAACAAAATATCACAAATTTACGAAGACAAAATCTTTATAACGACTGTAAAATTGTAAAATAAATGAATGAATAAAGATTATTATTATTAAAAAAAAAATATGTGACAGATTTTTTTTAATAATAATCTTAGCATACTGCTTTACTGCCGATGGTCGCGTGTTCGATTCCTCGCACGGTACAAACAATTATATTATCTGTCTGGCTGTTTTCTATGTATATTATGTATGTATTTAAAAAAAATCTATGTTTTATATCAGTTGTCACTGGACAACTGATATAAAACATAGATTTTCCCATAAAACAAGCTCTGCTTACCGTGGGACTAGATGGCGCTGTGTTAGTGGTACAGGGTCATTTATTTATGACGTATGAGTCAGCCATCGCTGCGCTCTACCAAAGTCGAAAGTTTGTATGGTTATTACTCATTCACGCAAAAACTACCGAACGAATTTTGATGAAACTTTACAGTAACATAGCTTATTCATTATAATAACATATAGACTATACTTTACATTGAAGTTTATATATTGAATTTTAACGTGGGCACAGCTAGTCTTTTATAAAAATATACGAGTATAAGCTGATCACGGAAGAAATAAAGTAATAAGTACAGTATTTACCCGTTTGTTCTGTGAAGCAGATGAAGTAACTGGCCGTTGCTATTAATATATCAAATAAAGTAAACAATAATGTATTTAGGGTTGCCAACCTTCGTCATCTGCTTCTTCCTTATCCCATTTATTTGTGGTCGTCGTAATATGTTTTTCTCTTCCATTCATCTCTGTTCGCAGTCATCCCGTTATTTACTCCCTTTCTCACCATATTATCTTCCAACCGTACTTTATAATAACGTATCCTACTTTATTTTTGGTAATTATACTTTATACTGTTACTATACAAGTAAAGTAGGCAAAAATACTTCATTTTCAACCTTCACTGTGATACGTAAAACAAAATATTCACTAGTTGTTGTTGTTTTAAAATTCGTCCAATTTGGACAGGCAAAGAGCATTGCCCATACTGCCTAGTAGTTATATTAATCTTCAGTATATAAATCGTTTTATGTCTTTCATAGAATATCCGGTCTATTCTTGACTGCTTCAGTCAAGTTATTTCTTAAGTAGAATGTCCGAAATAATTTTCTTCAGTAATCCATATAATATGTAATTAATCCAGGGTTTCAGAGGTACCATGTGCTTAACGATTTATAATTACTGAACGAAATGTTAGATGTCAATTGTGAGTTGTGACATTTGTCACGGCTCTAGTGTTAAAAGCACACAAAAATACGATTTTAGAGCAATAAAAACATGAAATTTGAAAATTTTTTTTTTTCCTAATACATAATTTTTCCTATCCAAACCAGGTTATGCGTTCTTTTTGGAAAAAAAAATGGCAACCCTAAATGTAATGGCCGCTTAAACTGAATAATGATATTAATACTAGTGAGTGGGGGGAAAAGGATTGTTAGTAAATGTGGACTAATGTTCCCATTGCTAGCAATGTAGCATGTCAGATCGACCTCCACGCGGTTCCCCCTGGAAACCATCGTGATACATTCCGGTGAATTTGTCACGTTGGGCTAACTGACCTGACCTCATGTTCATCTTATCATCCTCCACTGGTGCCCCGCCAGCGTAAACCGTTAGCGCAGGCGGGTGCACCATTACATTATCATCCATTAAAAAAAATATTAGTGAGTCATATACATGCGCCGAATATGTACGTGTCGTTATGCATTTCGCCAATGTAGGATGATAAGATGAGCATGAGGTCAGGTCAGTTATCACACCGTGGTAAGTTCATCAGGAATTTATCACGATAGTTTGCGTGGAGCGTGAGCGTGAGCGTGAACCCCACTACTAGCAATGTACCATGTCAGGTTGAGCGTGGAGGTCAACCTGACATGGTACATTGCTAGTAATGGGGTCATCAGTCCACATTACTAACAATTCCCATCCCCCCTATAAAGATATTTGTTACGGTTGATAATGGTATGGTGCGCCCGCCTGCGCTAACGGTTTACGCTGGCGTAGCACCAGGAGGATGATAAGCTGAGCAGTCAGGTCAGGTCAGTTATCCCACATTAAATTCACCAAGAATTTATCACGATGGTTTCAAGGGAGTGTGTGCGAAACGGTGCGGTTTTTTAGATTTTTTTTGCCACGCATAACATTGTGGAATCACCTTCCAGCAATGGTATTTCCGAACCGATACGATATTGAAACCTTCAAGAAAAGAGCTTATTCCTTTTTAAAAGGCCGACAACGTACTTGCAATACCCCTGGTGTTGCGGGTGCTCATGGGCAGCGGTAATCACTTATATCTGGTGCTCGTTTGTCCCGTGTAATAAAAAAAGGGAGAACCGCGTGGAGGTCAACCTGAGATGGTAATTGCTAGTAATGGGGTCATCAGTCCACATTACTACCAATTCCCTTTCCCCCTGATGACGATATTACCACTAGTGACTCATGCATGTACATGCGCCGAATACCTACGTGCGTATTCAGATGAATAATTTTATTTATATGTATGTATAGATATACATACATATAAATAAAATTGGGGTGTCTGTTTGTAATATTGAAATAACCGTTCCTTACTACATGCATATGAATATAAATACGGTACATACAACAAAAAAAATACTTTTTACAATTTTTGTCTGTCTGTCGATTTGTTTGTTCCGGATAATCTCCGAAATGGCTGGACCGATTTTAACGGGACTTTTATCGGTAACTGATGTAATAAGGAGTAACTTAGGCTACTTTTATTTAAAAAAAAAAACTTTTATTTTATAAAAAATAAAGTTAAATTCCACGCGGACGAAGTCGCGGGAACAGCTACTTTCGCAATGTTATTATAGTCAAGCGACATTGAGTATGCTCAATCATATTTATTTTTAACAGCCTGGACAATTCGCACAGCGTCATTTGGTCCTAAGATAAGAGATTGTGGTAGAATGGAAATAATTTATTCAAATAAACTTAAATTTAAACATGTTTCTTAATATTAAACTTTTACGTTTAGTTCACATTATAAATTTGGTCAAAACAGATTTCATAAAAACATCTATTTAAAAGTGCAACACACAAGTTTCTTTCTCATTCTTCTTGTGATGAGTCTGCGCTCCGAATGAGTGGTAGAATCAAAAATATATTCAAAAGCGCGTATTGAGTTTATTTGCATAAAGATTATTTCTATTTTTATTTATTTTGTATGTATATTTATTTTTGGCGTTAAGATATAAAAAGAAACGAGTATGACTATTCAAAAGTGCTCAAATTTAAACTAATTTGTAATAAACTTTTCTGATCTATTCTATTCACATCCGATAAGCAATTTAGTAGTGAGAAGTTAACAAATAGACAGAGAGAATTTTAAGTTTATTTGAATAAAAAAAACTACATAATTTATTCAATCCTGTCAGCAATTTAGTAGTGAGAAGTTAATAATCTCAAGACATTTCACACAGCGCCATCTAGGCCCAAGTTAAGCTAGCTAAAGCTTGTGTTATGAGTACTAGATAACTGATATAAATACATAGATTTTTTTTTTGTAAATACATACATATTATACATAGAAAACACCCAGACAAACAATCATACTCACGAATACAAATGTTTGTGCTGTGCGAGGAATCGATCCCGCGACCATCGATGGTAGTGGTGTGCTGACCACTATACCAGCGAGGTCGTCAAACAAAAGAGTACACCACACCCATATTAAACGATGTCTGTCTGTACTTAAAACTGAATTGAACCGCGTTCTAGGAAATATAATAATGTAATATATATATTTACATTAGCCCACCCGCGCAATATCTACGTCATGAAAGAAAGGGACGGCATAACTCATGTTTTTGCAACATGCTTCGCTCTTATTACACATAGAGTATTATTTATAGCCTATATGTTGTATAATCTTCACGACTCATCAATATTTTAATTCCATTAAAATTATTTCCAGCCATTATAAATGAGCTAAATCGTCTTTTAAATTGATTTATTCTTCGTGCTGATAACGAATGTTGTATAAATATGTAATAAAACTATTTATGACTGCAAAATGTATTTTAATGGTATGGTAGATAGGGAAGGTGACATGATATAATTTTTGTTTTATTTTTTTGATTATAGAATAATAAAAAAGAAAAACCTTTAAATATATTAATATCAAAAGAGTTTTCTCAACACTATAGCCATTTTAAACAAACGCGGACTATCCAACACCAGGGGCATCGCTACCTAGGGGTAGGCGTGGCAGTGCCCCGGGGCCCTTAAGCTCGGCGCCTCGCTCTTACCAATAAATCAACCCTTACCAGTACAACTCGATCGAAGTGAACTTTTGAAAATTTCTCCCATTTTCGAAATAAATATGACAGTTTGCAGCCCGACTTTAATCATGGCAACACATTTGGTAGAAATTCTAAAGTTATATTTCGGAATTCCCCTAAATTCTCTCCTTCTCTTATCAACAAACTTTAAAATCAAACATCATTTATTCATGTAGGACATATTAGCCGCTTATCAACTTCAATTTTTTTACATTATAATTTAAAGTTTTTCCCTGCCGTCCAGTTCAGTACATAGATCCAATTGAGAAGAACTGGCAAGAATCTTAATTGATTTTTTTTAAAGCCAGTTTATTTACAATGTATATTTATATATATATGTCTAGCATTAAACGGAAATCCCGTGCATGAACAACTATTGCCAGGCACTCTATTCCATTATCATCCATTTAAAAAAATATTATTACTCATTTTATATTTAGAAATGAGAGCTGATAGAATTGTCTTGAGCTGATAAAACCCCAGTTATCTTAAATTGCGTATAATTTACTTAACGAACGGAAATTCTAGCTTTTATGATTATAACTGATTCTTCAAACATCTGACGATGGTAAACACGCTGCCGAGCAGTATTACCAGATGGTTTAGTTAAACCGTGATTTGATCAAGCGATGTTATTACAGTTTTTTTGTTATTATTAAATTTTATTAACGTTAAAGGTACTAGATCTTAGACCCTATAGGTAAATGAAACTCAAGGATAGTACTGAACTGTGTATATTCCGTAGTAAGAATATTCTCTCTTTTAATCTTTTTAATCTCTCTTTATCTCCAATTGCATTTTTTCTTTTGGACTACTCTAACGCTGATGCATCTGGCCTTTGCAGCTTCACCGGACGTTAGGGGGCGAGTGCAGATGGCACTCTAAACCAAAGGAAGGACTACGGAGCGGCTGAAGGCCAACTCCCGCCTGACGGATAACAGTTTAGTCTGAGGGAGCGGTGCCCTCAGACTAAACTCTTAAGCTTACTCTGAGGCTTAAGAAACCAGGACTATCCAGTTTAAAAACAGAACGCAGTAATAGTGTTGCAATAGAATAGAATAGAAAATCATTTATTGAAATAAACTTACATTGAAGCACTTTTGAATAGTCATCACATTTCTTTTAATTTATCGCTCATTCGGAAAGCTGACTCATAACAAGAAGAACGAGTAAGAAACATGCGTGTTGCTTTTTTAAATAGTTTTATTATTACTTTACATTTTAAGTTTAAGTGTGTGAATACAAACTACCAATTAGCACAAATTCAATTAAATAGAAAAAAATATTAAATATATAACCAACTGGTTAAACAATTAATAAGAGGAAATCAGTCATAGTGATTAAAGCACACCAGTCCCTACAAGCAGCAGTTATATTAATATGTAGTAAAATTAAAGTAATTAATATAATCAGGTTATTAATAAAAAGTAATTGATAAAATTATACTGTTGAAAATCAGTAATTAAGAGGCGCGCGTATTTTAAAAAAACAGGACGCTGTCAAGTAACTTTTCAGGACTTCCCAGGACAGTTCAGAGACTAGGACATGTCCTGGGAAAATAGGACGGTTGGCTACTCTAAACTAAAGGAAAATAGTGAAGGTCATATAGAATATGATGAAGACAATAGACAATAATATAGTGTGTAGTGTGTAGACCACAAATAATTAAGAGAACAAAGAGCAATGAGGACAAAATACCGAACTTCCAAGTAAGTAGTTAACTGTTACACTACTATAAATAATTAAAGCTGAAACTGTTATTACAGCATTGATTACCAAAGTGAACGACAACCACATAGGCGATTTTTTTTATTGGCTTATTATAACCTTGGGCAATTAGGGGGAAAGGTGTGTGTTCGTAATGTGGACTGATGACCCTATAGCTAGCAATGTACCATGTCAGGTTGACCTCCACGCGGTTCCTCCTGGAAACCGTGATAAATTCCTGGGGAATTTGTCACGATGGGTTAACTGACCTGACCTCATGTTCATCCTATCATCCTCCACTGGTGCCCCGCCAGCGTAAACCGTTAGAGCAGACAGCAGTCTAGTGGATTAGCATACTGCTTTACATTGGATGGTGGCCTGTTCGATTCCTTGCATGGGACAAACATTTGTATTCATGAGTATGGTTGTTTGTATATTACGTGTGTATTTACAAACTCATGATTAAGACATCATTTTTGATTAATTAATAATATATATTAAAGATAAATGAATGTAATAAAATATAGTAACTCATACCAACATATAAATAGCATATTAGTCAAAACTAAATGCATAATCACATACTGACACAGGATTACATGTATATACATATACATACATATATTATGTATGTTTTACTAGCTGTCCCAGCCATATAAATTAAAATCGCTATTAAAAAATAGGGGTTCATGCTAGAAGGGTGAAAATTTAGGGTGTTATGTATTTTTCAATCCTAAATAATAATAAAATATTGTGACAAAAAAATAAAAAGACATATATTTAGGGGCGGATATCCCTTACCACTTGGGGTATGAAACATAGATAGTAGCCGATTCTCAGACCTAATGAATATACATATAAAATTTCATAAAAATCGATCTAGCCATTTGGGAGGTGTATGGTAACTAACAAAGGGAGGTGTATGGTAACTAAAAGAGCAACACACAAGTTTCTTGCTCGTTCTTCTTGTGATGAGACAGCTTTCCGAACGAGTGGTAGATAAAAAAACAAATTGTTATGACTATTCAAAAGTGCTTAAATTAAGTTTATTTGAATAAATGATTTTCTATTCTATTCTAACATTGTGACATGAGAATTTTATATATAAGATGTGTATATTAATAAAAAAATATATAATAAGAGTCAATGTGGACTACACTTTAACACAATACTAGATATGTTGTGTGTAAAAAGATACTACACTAACTATACCTGTGACTTCACCTGCTTTGTAGATATAATTCTTGTAGATTGTCTTCCCTTGTGATAAATTTAATTAAGATCTATTTAGCAGTTTCACCATGAAGACAGACATAGATAGATAGATACATCTCTATGTATCTATCTGTGTAGAGAGGTGAACATTTTAAATTTTATAATGGTAGCTCATAACATACAAATTTAATTTAAATTCCTTATGTTGTTTTGTCATCAAATAGAAATAGAAATAGTAATAATCTTTATTCAAATAAACTTAATATAAGCACTTTTGTATAGTTAAGTTTTTATATCCTACCACTTATTCGGAATGCAGATTCATCACAAGAAGAATAAGCAAAAAACTTGTGTATATTTAATTAACAACAAGGATTAGGCATGTGACAATCAACATATGTAGAAACCACTACGCACTTAATCTCTGTTCAATCAGATAACATTGTCAGCGCTATGAATTTTAAGTTAGATATTTTCAAACAAAGCATTATTATCATTTTTTTTTTCTTCTTTATGGCTTGGCATGCCTGTGCATTTGCCAATATACAAAATTTGGGAAACAGTAGTTCAGGTAAAGGAAATTTTGGACGATAGGTTTAAAGGATCAGGTAAGTTTTATAAATTCTTCAATTTTACAATAACCTTTTTTACAAAGAAAATATTTTATGACACATTTGATTTTTTTTTCTGGCATTTTGACTACAGACGCTGGGAGTTGTAAAACCTTATGCAATTTCCATAAAATGAATTACTGACTTTCGTCAAATGGCACTTAGGTAAAACTAAAAACAACACACAAGCAGACATACAGACTTATTTATCTATATATATAAATAAAATTGGAGTGCCTGTTTGTAATATTGAAATAACCATTTTTTCTACATGCATATGAATATAAATATGGTACATACAGCAAAATAACATTTTTTACCATTTTTGTCTGTCTGTCAGTTTGTTCCAGCTAATCTCTGAAATGACTGGACAGATTTTGATGGGCCTTTTACTGGCAGATAGCTGATGTAATAAGGAGTAACTTAGGCTCTTTTATCTAAGAAAAATAAAGATAAATTCCATGCAGACAAAGTTGCAGGTACAGTTCATAATATATAAATACAATCTGGTATTTATTTTATCAATAATTTACATATATTTTAAAAGAATGACAATATACTTTTGTATATGTATGTACAATCATTAGATTACATAAAATAGATAAATTTGAATACCTACAATGTACAATCAACCTTGCATTTATTAGTTCTGGGTAACAAGTTCTGCAACCAAGTGTAACTATTTTTTTAAACTACTCTAAATAATTGCATGACTCTATGAACAAGTACAGATAGCCTTCCAAAAGGTGATTAAGGCCAACCAGCCTGATATGACTTTAGTCTTAGGGCACTGCTTGGCGTTTAAACCTAGGCAGTGTTGGAATCGAACGGAGGGAAATATAGCGCGGAATTATAATTGACGTTCCATTTTTTAAATTTAAAAATAATATATTTTTTTAAATATTTAATGGCTTTTACGATCGCATATAATAAATAATAACAATTACATACCTCATCAATGAAAATAGTATCACTAAAATCATGGTATTCTTCACTCGAATCTGAATACATGTTAACTTCTCTAATTTCAAGATCCGAAGAACACTCCGTTGGGATATGAATCAGAAATAAATGAACGAAAGATAAAATAGATACCGTGTGGTATAATTTACTTACCACAATGAATCATTGGAATTCACATTGAGGAAAACAAACTTGGACCCCACCACGGTGAGATGGACCTCAGATTTTTGCAAAGGAATCTGAACGTTCCGCATACCACATTGGGTGTTATATCGAAAAATTACAAGTTAAAATTGTAAAAAAATAATACTCACCTATTAAAGTTAATAATCAACTTTACAGAATGACACTGATACAGAAACAAAACGAGTTCTAGTATGATGACAATCCATTTACAGATAACACAAACCTCAGAGATGAGATACTACAGTACACTGTTTGATGGACAAAGTGATCGAGGTGTCAGAAATACAATAGTCTGGCGTCAGTCAATCAATAGACAGTCAGTATATATCAATCATACCAATTTGGCTGTATATATAGTTCCCTTTACCTTTCCAAAAAAGAGAATAAAAAAAATGCAGTCATCAGTCAAATAAACATTTATTTATAACGAGTTATTTAATTATTTAACTTCATTCTAAATATCCTATATACACTGTTAGTGACAATAAGTTCATGAAAATATAAATATTAGATTCGTAAATATCAATAATTAATTAATAAGACAATGTATCCTGGACCAATAGTTCGTAGTTTTCTACAAATAAGACAGACTGTTTCAAAATCAAATATACACACATTGGGAGCATGTTTTGCCGCTGTAAAGAAAACTTCAGCCGCTGGAGGCAAGTTGTCCATTTGTTTCATATGCTCTGTATTAAAATTCCATGCCATATTCTTGTTGGTAATATCAGGTTAGGTTAACTAACTTTTTTTTATGATAATGTAATGATGTATTTGCTTCTCGCTGCCAGGAGTACAGGGTGATAAAATGAGTATAAGGTTAAGTCAGTCAGCCCACAATGACCAATTCAATAGGAACCATAACATTTTCCTTGGGGGAACTGCTTGGATGTAGACTTTACGCCGTTACCTCTGGCTGAATCTGCTACCCCAGTTAACTAACTTTAATATATCACTGTATGATCATTGGATTTACTAAAATATGATTGAACACAATGATGACTGTTATTTTATGATGATAAATGAAATGGTGCACTTGCCTGCGGTAACGGTTAACACTAGCGGTTCACCCGTGGAGCATTATTTAATGAGCTTTTACTTGACTTCATGTCAAGTCAGCTCATTTTGGCGAATGGTAATTTACCAAGATGGTTTCCAGAGGAAACTGTGTGGTGGTCATCTTGACATGATAAATGGGGTTATTAGTGAACATTACTAACAATGACTTTAATTTCAATAATATATATGTTATCTAGCTGGCTGCGCAAAAATTTGTTTTGCCATATAAATTAAAATTGCATTTAAAAATTGGGGTTCATGCTACAAATGTTGTATATACAATAACAATGTTGTATATATTTTTTAGTGACATAAAAATAAAATTATAAATAAAAAATTTTGCCCATAAAATAAAAATATAATGTTAGGTTAGACAACCCTTATTACTTAGGGGTATAAAAATAGATAGTAGCCAATTCTCATACCTACTGAATATGCATATAAAATTTCATAAAAATCGGTCAAGCCGTTTCAGAGGAGTATGGTACATTGTGACATGAGAATTTTATATATAAGACTATTACACTTATGGTTTACAGGTGTAATGGGGCTTGGAAAGGGCAAGAAAAAAGCAGGTAAATTAACAACAATGGAGAAAAAAGTCTTACCAGTAGAAACTGATCCTGAAAAACTAGTTAACTATGTCTGTGGTTCTAATATTTACACCACAGGGGAAGATGTTAAGGTATTTCATTATTTTGTGTTCTCTACATGTGTCTCAGAATAAAAAAAACATTTTTTAAATTTATATAACAATAGCTGTATCGTGACTTTGTCTAAGTTATAGTGACTTTGACCATCATCATCTGCTTCTTCCTTATCTCATTTATTTGTGGTCGTCGTAATATGTTTTTCTCTTCCATTCATTCCTGTTCGCAGTCATCTCGTTATTTACTCCCTTTCTTACAATATTATCTTTCTCACAGTCCATTCATCTCTTTTTCGGCCTTCCTCTGCTCTTATTCATATGTAACACCTTCCTTAGGATATGATCTTCATTCCTACGCATTACATGTCCATACCAAAATAGATGATTACTCTTCAACTTCTCCGACACCGGTGCCACTTTCATACATTCTCTAATGTATATGTATAGCATAGTATAGTGACCTTGACCAATCAAAGAAAAAATATACAATAATCTAACCCAAGTAACTAAAAGAAAATATCATAATTCTAGCTTCAAAAATGATTAATTTTCATAAAATTTTCATCCACTATTTTATTTGTATATTTAATATTTATTTGTATTTAATCAACAGTCTAAATTATAAGTGTAGCGTTTTATTTACTCCACAAATTTTCTTATCTTCACATATTAATAATATTTCTTCACCACCACTTCAAATCAAAGTTAAAGGCACTCTGGAAAATATATATTATTATTTTTGTTAAAAATGGGAAGAGATGATATTCCAAAAGGCACCCTCCTGCGCTAATTATATTGAAGAATGTTTACGCTGGATTTGGAGGTGGGCACCAGTAGATGATGATAAGATGAACATGAGGTCAGGTCAGTTAGCACAGTCTATAATTAATAATTTGATAAATTCACCAGGAAATCCAAATCCCTTATGATGGAAAAGATATATAAATTATTTGTGTTCGGCGTAATGTTTTTCAAATCTTCCATTCATCGAAAATATCCTTCGGCGTTCACTGAGTCTTCATCTTGTTCAGCTTTGGAACTATTAGAAGATAGATACAGTAATAAATATATTTTAATTACAAGTCATATATTCTTTACCATATCATCATTCACACAGTCCATCCTCGTCCCCTGCGATCGATCCCCCGTCCAATTCAAATGGGAATCGATATTACTAGAGAGCTCGAGAATGGAGCCGAGGTTCGAACTAAACCTGTATTATATAATTGTTTATTTTGTTCCGATGCCCGATTATACAGACTAAAGTCGAATCTGTTAACATGGGAGCAATGGCATATAAACTTCAGTTCTCGCAAAAGTCAGCACTGCTCCATATGTCCTTCCGCGGGTTTCGAGTGCCGTCTGCGCTCGCCCCTATCGTCTGCTGTAAAGGCCAGCTGCGGACAACACCATTAGAGTAGTCCGAAAAAAAAGTCCATCCATATCTTTTTCGGCGTTCCTCTGCTCTTATAACCAACCACATTCATCTGTAACTTCACCCCTGCAATAAAGTGTATAGATAAATAAATATTTTCTCTCTTTGTTCCTCAGATAAAAGATGATAGTGAGTACCCCGAGTGGCTGTGGACCCTACGCACAGAACCGGTGCCCATAGAGCAGCTGGACCCCAACACGAAGGAGTATTGGCTCAGGGTTCGAGCAGCGGGCATGAAACGAAATAACAAACTACGGTCACTGCGAAAGTTCTAGAAATTAGGTTACTTGTACAATTAAATAGTTTTATTGTTAGATAAATAAATAAATAAAAAATATAACGTTGTTTTTTATTATTATACATTTGTTATAGTTCACATCAATGTTGTAGAAAAAATCCGATATTTTAAAAAGATATTCAAAGAAGGTAGTTTGTGTTTGATACTAATGAAGTATCCAATGTAAAGATTATTACGAATATTATATAGCGCCATCTAGTATTTATAGATCGATCTACTACACTGACTGCGGTCTATAAATATGGAGGTCGGTAGTTGAATAATCCTCTTTTGTTGGGTGAGCCGCGGCATTCAGTCGACGAGCGCAGAGCGTGCCGGTTGTGTTTTGGGTACTGAAGTGAATTGTATTAGGAATGGGTTTATCCCGGTCTTAGTTGGGCCTGGAGGAAACCTGCAAGTAGTGAAGGTGAGTGTTAATGCATTCTAAAAGGGCCTTTTAAACCTAGACCCGTGTCAAAAGTTACGGGCGCTACTTGGGGTTTCCCTTGCGGTAGCTTCAAAGCCTAAGTCGTTATCATTTTCTGGGGGAAAAGGGGATTGTTAGTAATGTCGACTGATGATCTCATTGCTAGCAATGTACCATGTCAGGTCGACCTCCACGCGGTTCCCCATGGAAACCTAATTGCTAATTGACCTGACTTCATACTCATCTTATAATCTTCCACTGGTGCCCCGCCAGCGTAAACCGTTAGCGCAGGCAAGTGCACCATTACATTATCATCCATAAAAAAAAAATAGTGCTTCTTACACATTATACTTTATTACTGGCCGCTAGATGGCGCTAAAGTAGTAAAATGTTGATATTTAATTTTTTTAAACTAGGGCTAATCACCCCATCATGACAAATACACTACAAATCAGTAACAATAAGATGAGGGGAACCGCGTGGAGGGTTAACCCTTCTATCTATATCATATATGGTTGAAAACACTTGTCGTGACCACCAGTGGGCTAATTATGTAACACTATACGAAATTATTTCTGTTGAAGTTGTGATGCAATAAAATCATTTCAATTTAATAAATGCGATGAAGTAAGATCGATTGACGGCAACATAAAACATTTCTATCGATAAAACACTACTATGAAGCTGCAGCGGAATATTGTTAATCCGACCAATTTAAAAAGTGAGTACATTAGATAGCTTGTACTTTTAGAAGGATACATTTTAACTTGTTGGGTTAATAAACTAGTTGGTTGATTTGAAAGGTTTACTAAATCGACATTCGATAGAAATATTTTTATCGATATGTAAAACAATGCTAGTTGCAGCGTCAAATGGCGTCAGTATAATCGCATTATTGACAGATGACGTCATTTTCACTACGTTACGTACGAAAATCGTTGCGAACGAAGATAGATAATTAGCCCACTGGTTGCATATGATCTATAAAAGGTCATATGCAAGCTTTTCAACCGAGGGCAAAGGGAATTGTTAGAAATGTAGATGACATTATTAACAATTGACTGAAGATAAAAACAAATCTATATCTGGAAGGACCAACAATCTGACTGTCATATACTTCTTAAATTTGACACGTTTATTATTTATACATACAAGAAAAATTCACGGGATCTTACAGTATAAATCAAATTAAAAAATCATTTATTCATGTAGGACATTTTAGACATTATAATTTTTTTCCGTACCGTCCAGTTTGGTATATAATTATATACAATTGAGAAGAACTGGCAAGAAACTCAATTGAATTGAACTTTTTTTTTAAAGCCAGTGAAAGTACCGTAAAACCGGTCCAGCCATTTCAGAGATAAGCCGGAGCAAACAGACAGAGAAAAATTGTAAACAATATAATTTTGGTCTATGTACCGCATTTATGTTCACATGCATGTATTAATAAACGGTTATTTTAATATTACAAACAGACACTCCAATTTTATTTATATGTAGGTATACAGATGTAAAGGGCCCCTCCCTTTACATCTGTATACCTATACGCCCTAAGAAAAGATGGATAGATTGTGTGAAAGATGATGTGAATAAAAGAAGAGTATGTTTAGATATGACGACCGATAGAGAGCAGTGGAAGAGAATGACATACTGCGCCGACCCCAAATAATGGGATAAAGGCAAGGCAATGATGAAATGATGAGATATACTGTATAATTTAGTACATATCACTCGGAATATCTCCCAATTCCGAAACCGAACTGAACTGGACGGTAGGGAAAAAAATTATAATGTATAAACTTGACGTTCATAAGCGGCTAAAATGTCCTACATGAATAAATGATTTTTGAATTGAATTGAACAGATCGTCTGCGAGATATAGCCTCGTAGTCCAGTTCTAATTAGACATTTAAACCATCCAAATAATAAGGTATATCCTAATGCAATCAAAATCCTATCTGGTCTTACTTTAAGATCATTATCAACTAAATCTACCCCGCAAACCTGTGTTTCTAAAACTTTTTCGATCACCCACAAGTGAACAAGAATTTGTATTTTAAAATCGGCATTTTTCGGCCTATGGGGCCGTTCAAGTATTACGTAAGCACTATGGGGGTCGGGCGGGGGGTCTTTGCTTTGCTTATTTTGGATGACATAGGGCGTGGGGGAGTCTAGATGATGATTACGTCATCGGTAGTTATTTACTTTTTTACGATAATGGCAACCCTCACATTGTCTTTGCTAAAAAAAAAATAATTGAAAAATGTTTACGTAAGCATGGGGGATGATTTTTTATAACATGGGGGGTGGGGGAGTCTAGGTGATGATTACGTCATCGGTAGTAATTTACTTTTTTAAGCGAATGGCAATCCTCACATTGTCTTTGCTAAAAAAACAATACATTAATTGAGAAATGTTTACGTAATCATGGGGGGACGGGGTAAGAGCACTTGCAATTCCCCTGGTGTTGCGGGTGCTCATGGGCAATCACTTACCATCAGGTGGACCGCAAGAGTTCAATCTATCTATCTATATATATATATAAAAATTAATAGCTGTTCGTTCGCTAAAACTCAAGAACGGCTGAACCGATTTGGGTAATTTGTGTTGAAATATTTGTGAAAGTCCAGGGAAAGTTTAAACGGCGATAAAATATGAAGAAATTGCATGTAAAATAGTAAAAACAACAATTTTATTTTCCCATACAAATGGCTGTGTCGCGTACAAGCAGAAACAAAACGCAACACAAAAGGAGCGTTCTGATTGGACCGCACACCCATCCAATTTAAATATGCAACGTAATGTAACAGACTTAAAATATCAACCGACCGATCTAACGTGCATTTTGTTCACTCCACCAAATTTGTAATTATCACAGTATTTAACCATTTAATTCAAGACTATAAGCAATTCTATCATTTTCTACAACCCGTAATCTGCTGAAGCCTACCATCATCACCTACCATCTGAGCATTCGACCCGCATCATCACGTACCAGGCTGGTACCTGTCAATTAGGGTGCGTTCACAAATTAATTGCGTAACGAAACTTCAAAAAACCTTTGACGTATTTAGTTTTGAGGCGGAATGAAGTTGGCTGTATTAACAGACACCCATGTTCGACCACAGTTTGAGAAACACTACTATAAACCAATGCAGGCGTACAAGCCAGAAAATTGTGTTAGAATGAAGTGCATACGCGCGAGAGAACACTGATTGGAAACATGGCCGTTTGTTATCACCCCGACACAGATGGGGTAGCGAGGCTCAATGTTTAAATTCAGTGTTGCCACTTTAGCGAATTTACCCATTACTATTGGTAGATTTTTTTATGGATAATAATGGAATGGTGCACCCGCCTGCGCTGGCGGTTTACGCTGGCGGGGTACCAGTGGAAGATGATAAGATGAGAATGAGGTCAGGTCAGTTAGCCAATCGTGACAAATTCATCAGAATTTATCACGATGGTTTTCAGGGGGAACCGCGTGGAGGTCAACCTGACGTGGTACATTTTTTGTTGTGTATGATAATGGAAAGGTGGACGCACAGGTGCATGCACCATTCCATTATATCCAGTACATGTATTATGTATATAAACCTTCCTCTAGAATCACTATATCTATTAAGAAAAACCGCTTCAAAATCCGTTGCGTAGTTTTGAAGATTTAAGCATACATACGGACGGGGCAACGACAGCGACTTTGTTTTATACTATGTAATGATGGGCTTGGTCTTAAGTCATCTGATGGTAAATGAATGCAAGACCTAGGATGTAGTCTATGGTGAATAGATTTCTTCTGGGTGAAGAAATCTATTCACCATAGACTTGAAGAATCCGGGGTTGTATTTCTCCGAAAACACGAAATCCGGAAGAGATAGAGAGAGAGAAGAGACCGGAAGAGAGAGAGAAGATTTCCTCTTTGGTAATGGGTATTAGAAAGGACGATGAATAGAGTAGATTAGAAAATCATTTATTCAAATAAACTTAATTTATGCATTTTTGAATAGTCATAACAATTTTTTTTTATCTACCGCTCGTTCGTAAACCTCTCTCATCACAAGAAGAACGAGCAAGAAACTTGTGTGTTGCTCTTTTAAATAATCCTTGTTTACATTTACAAGTCGAAACGTGTGAATACAAACTACCAACCAGCTCTAATTTATTTGGGTCAAATATAAATATAACAATAAGATTAAATCAGTCGTAGTGATAAGAGCAGATCAGTCCCTACAAGCAGCACTCGTTCACAAGCCAGCTATCACTGCGCTCGACCTTATTTTAGGGAGCCCAATAACCCGGCCCACCACGCCGCCACATGTCTGGACATTTTAGTGAGCATGATTGCTCCGACCGATGCGAGCCGATCAGTGCGAATGTGTGAAATTTTCTTCACTTTCTCAATTTTGTGGTTTTAGATATTTAACTAGTGGATTTCCTCAAATTATGTTGGCAACACTGTATCTAAAACAGATTCGTTCATTTGATAGGTTGGTCCGAGTGCGTGAACTAGTCTCATAGAGCCTTTGTTGGGATATGGGACCATGAAGGAAGTAGTGCAAAGTAACGGCGCTCTCGCCTTTGCCTTGATTTATTTCACGTTCTTTTTAGACAATGTGCTCCTGACGGTTTTAGGTAAGTTACATTTTGAGTTTTTTTAAGCAATTGGAACTTTAATTAAGACGTTGGACCACCTGATGGAAAGGGGGCGTCCATAAATTACGTGACATGTTTAGGGGGGAGGGGATCTAATCTTAGCAACGGCGGATCCAGGGGGGTCATGGGGGCATGACCCCCCTGAGTCCAGGATTTAGGTGGACCACTAATTAAACATAATGATTTTATTTATATATTTTGTCGCCATACAGATTTTATAAATATTTTTAAGTGCAGTACTTACGTACACTAATAAAATACCTACTTTTTACTTGTATCTAAAGTTCTTGGCTTGACCACGATTATATGACCCCCTCCTGGCGCCAAATCTGGATCCGCCCGTGATCTTACATTGGAGAGAGGGGGGGGGGGTCTCGTCAAATAAACAAAAATAAATTATACTATCTTGGTCCATTTAATCCAGATTGTACACGCTTATTACACTTATAACAGTCAGCAATATTGATTACTAGTCTTAACTAGTCGTAAGTAAAAGCACGAAGCAATTTTTTTCTTTTTATTTAACGCGTTTACGTAAGAAACCCACATTTTGAAAAATCTCACGTGAATTGGGGGATGGGGGAGGGGGTTGAATAAAATCTGACGACATCTCGACATCATTACAGATAATTAAAAAAAACACCTCACGTAATTTATGGACGCCCCTTAACTTATTGTAAAAGTTTATACCCATTCCTATAAAAGAGCGTTAGAGTTAGGGATAAAACATGATGGCCAAGTTCAAAACCCTAGTTCACCGTGTAGTGTGGCACACCGCTTCACTTCCTTTGGTCGCGGGTTCGATTCATCGAGTCTGGATGTTTTCTTTGTATATTATGTATGTATTTACAAAAAAAATCTAAGTACATTTTTGTATCAATTGTCTAGTACCCATAAAACAAGCTCTGCTTACCGTGGGACTAGATGGCGCTGTGTTATTTATTTATTTCAGTTCCAATAATACCTGACTGGGTGCGTGGTGAGTCGTTGGAGCTATGGACGACTCATGATGCACCCCTCGCTATGCTCCTCAACAGCACCGTGCATAACATCAATACTGAAGATACTCAAGGTACAGAAAGAACAATTATATATCCCTATCTTTTTTTTTTTTGGACAATTCACACAGCGCCATCTAGACCCAAGTTAGTTATGTGTACATAGATACATTAGTTTTTCGTAAATACATACATAGAAAATACCCAGATCGATACAAACAATCATACTCAGGAATACAAATGTTTGTGCCGTGCGAGGAATCGAACCCGCGAACATCGGAAGTGAAGCGGTGTGTTCTCTTTATATAGCGCCATCTAGTACTGAAAACTGAAATAAATACATCATTTTGTAAATAATTAAATTAAAATTATACACAAAATCATCATTGCCTTGCCTTTATCCCATTATTTGTGGTCGGCGCAGTATGTCATTCTCTTCCACTGCTCTCTATCGGTCGTCATATCTGAACATACTCTTCTTTTATTCATATCATCTTTCACACAATCCATCCATCTTTTCTTAGTGCGTCCCCTCCCTTTACATCCATCCACATTCATATTATACACTTTCCATAAGACATGGTCCTCGTTCCTCCGCATAACATGTCCATACCATCTCAATGTGTTAACTCGCAACTTTTCTATAACCGGCGCAACTTTCAAACTTCCTCGTATATACACATTCCTTATTCTGTCACTCCTGGTAACCCCACACATCCATCTTAACATTCGCATTTCTGCCACATGCATACGCCTTTCGTCCATCCCCTTTACGGCCCAACGTTCAGATCCATACAAAATGGCAGGTCTTACGATAGATTTATATACTTTACCCTTTAGTTTCAAGTGTATTCGGGGGTGGCATGTCGTTCCCGAGACCTGTCGCCATTTCATCCATCCTGCACTAATTCTGTGCCTTACATCGCGTTACATTAAGATTATACACAAAATCTTATATATAAAATTCTCGTGTCAGTTTTCGTTCCCATACTCCTCCGAAACGTCTTGACCGATTCTCATGAAATTTTGTGAGCGTATTGAGTAGGTCTGAGAATCGGCCAACATCTATTTTTCATTTTTCATCCCCCTAAATGTTAGGGGTAGTCCATCCCTATTTTTTTTTATTTAAGGCAAAACCACGTTTGCCGGGACAGCTAGTCTTATATATAAAATCAGGTATATAAAATTCTCGTGTCACAATGTTAGTTACCATACTCCTCTGAAACGTCTTGACCGATCTTTATGTAATTTTATATGCAAATTCAGTATGTCTGAGAATCGGCTACTATAAATTTTTAATACCCATCAATGGTAACTTCTAAATATTTTTATTATTTTTGTTTGAATTTTTATTTTGACTTAGCAATATATATACATATATAGACATAAATATCGCCACTTCAACAGGTATAGGAGGATCCCAAGCGGTGGTAGGTTTGGTGCTCGGCGCTAAAGCAGCATCACAGCTGATTACCGCACCTTTTGCTGGAGTTGCCGTCTGCAAGCATGGACCTGCGAAAGTTCTTCGCGCTGGTACCATGGTGTTGGCTGGTGCAGCTATGGGTATGTTAACACAATTTACCATTAGATACATTAAAGATATCAACACACATCATTTTTTAATTTGGATCACCCTCTAATATGGTCGAGTGCATATATGGCTGGCTCATCCGTCATACTCGTGAACGGGTGCTGCTTCTGGGGACTGGTCTGTTCACATTGCGAACACTGATTAGATTTTTTGTTTTTTGCAATAGCATGTGATGATAATGGAATGGTGCACCCGCCTGCGCTAACGGTTTACGCTGGCGATAAATGGAGGCCAGTGGAGGATAATAAGGTAAACATGAGGTCACCTTATCATCCTCCACTGGTGTCCCGAGGATAAGGTGAAATTTATCATGGTATTCAGGGGAAGCGCGTGGTCAACCTGACTTCATACATTATCATAGCAATGGGGTAATTATAATGTTTCCCATTACTAACAATCCCTTTCCCCCTCTTTTTCCAGTATTCATGGCATGCAGTAGCCGCGATGGGTCTGCTGGCGCGTGGTGTGCTGGTGCTGCTCGGGTGGCGCATGGTGCTGGAGCGGCGTTGGCTGGAGTAGCTGGTTTGTCGTTGGCAGCTGCGACACTTCCACTACATCAACGAGACCGAGCTATTGGGGTTTTATTAGGCGCTGTTGCATTAGGTACAAATATTACAGTATAGAATAGAATAGAAAGGTATAGAATGGAATTAAATAGAATAGAATATTCTTTATTCAAATAAACACACATTTCAAATAGTCATTACTTATTTTTGTAGTCTACCGCTCATACGGAAAGCTGTCTCATCACAAGAACAACACGAGCGTGTTGCTCTTTGAAATAATTGTTTTAGCTTTTTACATTATAAAATTGAAATGTGTAAATATAAACTACCAACTAGCACTAATACATCTAAGTCTAAAGTGTCAGGGTTCATATCAATATTGTAGAAAAAATTGACATTTTAAAATGATATTAAAAGAAGATAGTTTGTTTTTAGTACTAATGAAGTATCTTTGAAATTACGCAACGGATTTTAATGTCATTTTCAGCAGTAGATAGTGTAGTGTGAAGAGGAATATATGTACATTACATACGTGTTATAGTATTGAACAAGCCAAGAAATTCAACGATTTGTAATTCATCAGTGCTAAAAGTGCAACTAGATGGCGCTGTGTGGATGTCCTGGATTATTATTGCTATTAATATCGCATTTATTCCAGGAGTGTTAATTGGCTACCCATTCGGGGGAGCAGCTTATGCCCTTTGGAGTCCTGGTGCACCATTTCTTCTCCTATCTACTTCTCTACTCGCTGATCTAGGTAAGAATTATGATTATACTGTTCTACATTGACGGCCTCAATTGTCTAGTGGTTTTAGCATACGTGACGCGACATATTGGACGAGAGTTTGATTCTTGCACCATAGAAATAGAAATAATTTATAATTAAAGAAACTAGTAGTCCGAATGAGTGGTAGAATAAAAAATGACTATTCAAAAGTGCTTGTATTAAGTTTATTTTAATAAAGATTCATATTTCTCTATTTTAAGCACTTTTGAATAGTTATATTTTTTTATTCTATCACTCATTAGGAAAGCAGACTCATCACAAGAAGTATGAGTAAGAAACTTACGTGTTACTTTTTGAAATCTATACATATTAATAAAATAGAAGTGTCTGTTTGTAATGAAAAAACCGTTTTTTACTGTACATGTACCAAAATAACATTTTTTACAATTTTTGTCTGTCCGTTTGTTCCGGCTAATCTCTGAAATGGCTGGACCGATTTTGACGGGACTATTTTTGGTAGTTAGCTGATGTAATAAGGAGTAACTTAGGCTATTTATATTTTAGAAAAATTCGTTTACTTCAGAAAAATAAAGTTAAATTCCAGAACAGCTAGTAATAAATATAAAAAATTGTATTTATAAGTATAATTATAATATTTTATAATTGTATATATTTTCTATGTATGTATGTTATGAGATACATAATAAACAGAAATTTACATGAATAATGTATCTATATAATTATATAAATCAGTTGTCTAGTATTTTAACATAAGCTCTACTTAGCTTGGGACTAGATGGCGCTGTGTGAATTAAATATAACATTTAAGTTATTTTATATTTGTTTCAGTCATGCAATACATGTTTTTGGATAAAGAAGTATTCAACCAAGTATGTCATATTATCTAATTTCAATTACGCTACTTTAATATATGTAATTATTCTATATGTGTGTTTGTCATGTAAAATTTCCTAAACGGTTGAACCGATTTGGATGAAATTTTATATGTACTTCAATGGTATGTAGTGCCGCTTTTCCAGGCTTGACGACAAAGTATTTTGTTTTGTATTTCTATTACAGAACACGAAATAAAATTTTAATATATTTAAGAGTATCTCAACAAATTTACATTTCTGATTGACTCTCTGAAGAAAGAAACGCCGATAATAAACCAAAAAATAATATTATAAAAAATGAGAATAGATATAATAAATTTATTATCCAATTAAATAATGCTGGTGATCACTCTATTCTCACAAATTTGAATTTTAACTCTGAAGACTCTGTATTATTGTGAACATGTACAATATTTATTTTAAAAGAATATGAGCTGAGTTTCTTTCCGTTCTTCTCATTTCGAAATCGTTCCGAACTGACGGTAGATTTGACATATCATAAAAGTTTGTTTAATTACATATGAATGTAGATGGTTATAAGGGCAGAGGATGGACTGTGTGAAAGATGATATGATAAGAAAGGGAGTAAATAACGAGATGACTGCGAACAGGGATGAATGGAAGAGAAAAACATATTACGCCAACCACAAATAAATGAGATAAGGAAGAAGCAGATGATGAAAAGTCTGTAATAGACCTACATGAATAAAGATATTTTGAATTTGAATTTGAGATTTCAGAGATAAATAGAAAACATGTTATGACGCCATGACATCAACAAATGACAGTGCTTCTGTCTACCCCATCTAAGATAACAGTCGGTCTTTAAATATATATAACTCAATGGTGACTGACTGACATAGTGATCTATCAACGCACAGCCCAAACCACTGGACGGATCGGGCTGAAATTTGGCATGCAGGTAGATGCTATGACGTAGGCATCCGCTAAGAAAGAATTTTGATTAATTCTACTCCCAAGGGGATAAAATAGGGGATGAAAGTTTGTATGAAACTTTATCAATTTTAAACCGATCGGGCTAAGACTTTGCATGCATAAAGCTACTATGACGTAGGCATACTCTAAGAAAGGATATTGATAAATTCCACCCCTAATGGGATAAAATAGGGGATGAAAATTTATATTAATCTTCTTAGATTTCCGACTGATTGAACTGAAAGTAAAGATTGAAGCTACTATGATGAAGACGTTCGCTTAAATAGGATTTTGATAAATTCAACCCCCATGGGGATAAAATAAGGGATGATGCAGGATGTAAATGTCTTACCGAACCTATCAGTACCTAATGGAACGAATAAATTAAGACGAAAAAAATAATTTTTATTTCTTTAGGCTACTTTTATTTTAGAAAAATAACGTTAAATTCCACGCGGACGATGTCGCGGGAACAGCTAGTATATCTATATTTCTATTTCTGCCATTCGCAGGTATCCACGATATCATGTGATGCCTCCAAAAACGATCTATGGGGAGCTCTGAGTGTAGCAAAACTGGAGGCAACTGGTGCTTGTGTCGGGGCTATTCTCCTTACCACCAGCGTCATGGCGGCTCTGGAGCCCTGTCTACCACTTTGGATTATGAAGAAGTTTCATCCGCAGGTTTATTATATTTTTTATTTAATATTTTACGGCTCTGGATACAAGTCCTTTTTAGCTACAATAAATTGCCAGAGTCTGTCCTAAATTTACCAGAACAAATTCATAAGTCGTATAAAACAATTTCTTTACAAAAAAAATATTTTATAATTGAATAGTGTATAATTGACAGTAATGTTCTTGTAGAAAAAAAATAACTTAAAATTCAATGCTGACAGCATGCTTTAATCAAAAACAATGATATATATATTAGCTATTATCTATACATGTAAATAAAATTGGAGTGTCTGTTTGTAATATTGAAATAACCGTTTTTTACTACATGCATATGAATATGAATACAAAATATTTTTCTTTTTACAATTTTTGTCTGTCTGTCTGTTGGTCTGTTTGTTCCGGCTAATGTCTGAGATGGCCGGACCGATTTTGACGAGACTTTTTTTGGCAGGTAGCTGATGTAATAAGGCTACTACCTAGTAACTTAGGCTACTTTTATTATAGAAAAATGAAGTTAAATTCCACGCGGACGAAGTCGCGGGAGGAGCAGCAGCATTATATATATAGTGGTCGCCCAGTAGTCGAAATTCGAACATAATAAAAAATACAAAAGAATAGAATAGACTATCAATCTGTTCTCAATTTGATCACAGACTTCATTACATAGTATAAAACAAAGTAAATCTTTAAAGCTACGCAACGGATTCGATATTGATTATAGATGAAGGTTTATATATATAATACATGTACACCCTGGCGTAGCGGGGCGAGTAGCTAGTTAACAATAACAAATAAAGGGTAGGATCTGTAATGTTTTTTAATGGTCAATTATAAGTAAGTGAGTAAAATATAATGATAAATGTCAAGTAAGTGTGATGCAGACGAAGTCGCGCGGGTCAGTTAGTATTTTATATAGAGAAGGAGTACATAATGTTATTTTTTTAATTATAGCCTATGTGTTATTCTGATTTATAAGCTATGTCACTGTAAAGTTTCATCAAAATCCGGCAGTAATCTTTGCGTGAAAGAATAACAAATATCCATCTATACTCACAAACTTTCGCATTTATAATATCAGTACCTAATATATAAAGAAACAGTTTAATTTACATAAAACAATATCTCTGTTTAAAACGAATCTACTATATAAATATAAATAAATTTCCAAATGTATGTAATGCTTCACTTCAGAATGGCTGTATATAAAAGTATATGATTTTAGAAATAGAAATAATCTCTATTCAAACAAACTCAATACAAGCACTTTTGAATAGTCATATTTTTTATTCAACCGCTCATTCGGAACGCAGATTCATCACAAGAAAAATGAGCAAGAAACTTGTGTGTTGCTCTTTTGATAGAACCAAATAGTTCCAATTATGTACAGTATGAATTTCTTTTCCTATTTATTTGCAGCGTTGGCAAACAGGAGCAGTGTTCATACCTGACAGTGTTGGCTACCTGATAGCAGCGAGTACCCTGGGTGGACTCTCCCGGCGGCTCGGCGCTGAGCGTGTGGCCATAACGGGCCAGATTGCTGTGGGGTTAGCTGCTCTAGCTGTTCCACATGCCAGATCTGTAATATCATCAACCACCTTCTACTTTATATGTATTTCTTACTCTCCGGTGATGAAAATAGTGTAAATCAAAATTTATAGAAATAGCTCACTAAAGCACAGCGCCCCATGTCTCGTTAGATTCAACTATATGGTGAGATTTTGGACAAGTGTTAGTGAGCACATTTTGATGTCGATGCGGCGCTGGGCGGGGGGCTGGGCGCCAGGTGTAGCGTGGGGTGCTTGCGGCAAGTGTAGCGTGGGGTGCGTAATGCAGTTGTCGGCGGGCTGTGCATCAGATGTAGCGTGGGGTGTTGTACCAGATGTAGCGTGGGGTGTTGTACCAGATGTAGCGTGGGGTATTGTACCAGATGTAGCGTGGGGTGTTGTAGCAGATGTAGCGTGGGGGGTTGTACCAGATGTAGCGTGGGGTGTTGTACCAGATGTAGCGTGGGGTGTTGTAGCAGATGTAGCGTGGGGTGTTGTACCAGATGTAGCGTGGGGTGTTGTACCAGATGTAGCGTGGGGTATTGTACCAGATGTAGCGTGGGGTGTTGTAGCAGATGTAGCGTGGGGGGTTGTACCAGATGTAGCGTGGGGTGTTGTACCAGATGTAGCGTGGGGTGTTGTACCAGATGTAGCGTGGGGTGTTGTACCAGATGTAGCGTGGGGTGTCGTGCCAGGTGTAGCGTGGGATGTTGCGGCAGGTGTCGTCGCTGGTGTTGCCGCACGCGGCGCTGGGCGGCGGGCTGGGCGCGGCGGACGCGGCGCTGGTGGCGGCGCTGCTGTCGCGGCACGCGCGCCGTCTGCCGCATCTCGCCGCGCTGCTGCAGGCCACCTCCAGCGTCGCATACGCACTCGGTACAACTTTTTTAAATTATCTTTTATATAGGTATCTCAACGACAATCTCTTACAGACAGGAACTGAATCCCATGATTTACCATGTATCTATCTGGCTGATCTGGTAAAACAAAAGTTACGAGTAAAATCTATTGTTATAATGGTACCACTTTTTCTAACCAGTTCGTATGCGTCAACTTTTATTGCCTATTTTACCCCGTCCTAGATTATTTTCTAAGATAATAAGTAGTATTTATCCTTCCTAGTAATATAGTCTATGTTCATGTCAATTTTTATTATGTTCCCTACAGCCATCTACTCGTGAAAAGGTAACGAACATACGGGCATAAGTCGCATTTATGATATTAGTATGTTCACATTTTTTGATCCTTCTAAAGACAAGTATAATATATTTTGCTTGATTAGAAATTATTGCTGTTTGATCCAACAGGTCCAATAGTGGGAGGCGCGATGTCCTGGTGCGTGGGATTCGAGACTGCACTCCGAACGCTCGGAGTGCTCAATTTGCTTTACGCTGGGTTCTTGTACAGAACTCTTTCAGAGCAGCCCCTTTCAGAACAGGTCAGTCAGGATGCCGACCGCGCGAGAATCCACGTAGAAATCCAAGTACATTTCGTCGTGACTTTTATGCGTCATTTTGGTCTACGAAAATGGAACAGAATGTTTTGATGTACAAAGATATATATCGTCAGATTGAGCTTATATATACGGGATCTTATCAGAGTTTTGTTTCCTTCGAACAAGGCTACTTTGAGGTAGGTCTTGGACGCCTATCATCTTATCAGCTGAGATGCGACTCGCGCTGCAGTCCTCAAGAATGTTAACACATGGACAGGCGTCACATGATAACGTAATGTCTACGATACTGTTCATATATATATATACTAGCTTTTACCCGCGGATTCGCTCGCATTGAATAAAAAATATTTGTTTTTTTTTAATAAAAAGCTTCCTATGTTCAAATTTGATGTGGGTGCTATTCAAAGCATACTACATGCCTCTATTACTGAGATTGCGCTGTGTTTGTGTGCGCTGATAAAAGCGATTTAATAAATAGATCCCTCTCAGTTGATAATTATTTGTTTGGGTTTATAATTTTTAAGAATTGTTACGATTAGTTCGTAATAATGGGATTGACATGTATAAAAACAAAAGCCCCAAAATAAATTTAGATTGGAAAAAAATCTATGTTCAGTCTAATACCTCTAAGAACATGTGTACAAAATTTCATGATGATCGGTTCAGTAGTTTTTGCGTGAAAGAGTAACAAACATCCCTACTTTCACATTTATAATATTAGTCAGGATTAAAGATATAGGTGATGGTAGCCATTTTTTTTTACAAATGAACGGTCAACTTGTACACTATATTAGAAATGTGAAATTTAGTCCAAGAAAATATTGATGTGATTAGTTCTGGCGCAATATATACAAATAAGTACGCAAATACGTGAATAATAATATTCAGAAAGAAATTTTGATTTAAGTTGATGGGAAAGGTATGAAAATATAAAAATAAAGTATTGAAAATCGTCTTTTTTTCAAAATAACTCTATAGTGATAAGATATATATTAAATTGTTTCAAACAAAAGTTATAGATATAAAATATCTGTACAAAAAAGGTGCTCTTTGAAATCAGATGATGATTATTATTATTATTATTATTATCTTGTACTTTTTTCCAGTGGGGCGCAAACACTCCTGATGATGAAGAAGAGAGTGAAGAGGGTGAGGTGACTCCGTTAAGACCTCAAATATACACGCCATTACATTAAAACATAATTTATAATTTCAAATTCACAATTCACATTCAAGTTTTTGCCACGCACAACCACATTGTGGAATCACCTTCCAGCGATGGTATTTCCGAACCGATACAATATTGAAACCTTCAAGGAAAGAGCTTATTCCTCTTTAAAAGGCCGACAACGTACTTGCTATTTCCCTGGTGTTACGGGTGCTCATAGGCGGCGGTAATCACTTACCATCAGGTGAGCCGCATACTCGTATGTCCCGTCTGTTATAAAAAAAAATTAATTCTTTATTTGCAAAGAACAGGTTACCAAGGTCTTAATAAATAGTAAGTTTCACTGTCTTCTGTACAAATATGATTGAAAACAAAATGGTAATGTGTTTACAACCTTGTGTTAATCTCAGGTTTGACACGTTAATTTTATTTCCATATTCGTCCATTTCCTTTTCAATGATCAGACAAAGATCCTTAGACCGTAAAGCCTTTGACACGTTAATCTATTTTTTTGGTTCTTGTTGTTGTTGTTTTAAAATTCGTCCAATTTAAACAGGCGAAGAGCATTGCCCATACTGCCTAGTCAGTAGTTTTTTTTTTCATTTCTTTGGCAAGAGGCTAGTGTTGCCTATTATGCCACTAAAAACGGGAAACGAGACGGGATAATGGAAAGGAACGGGTTAAATTTTGAATATACTCGGAATTAGTGATCATGGGTTTTAAAGTTTAAGGTTATTATGGGAAATAAAAGACGCAAGAGATTTATAAATTATAGGACTAGGATGAGCTAATAGGCATACAATGGATGAAGGAAAAGGAATTTCTAATGAGATGAGTGTCTCTATAAATAAAGAACGATCGTAAGAGGAGCAAGAAAACACAATATGATTTAGATCACCCACATCTTCTCCACATTCTCCACAAGTCAGTAGTTACATTAACCTTCAAGTTTTTCCCTTTTCAGGGAAAGGCAAAAGGATTCGGCCTATTAACCTATGTTGTCATTTTCAAAATAGAGTAAGATTGATGCATTATATAGAGATTAATGAGAATGGCATTTTTGCGAATGTCCAATTGTTGTGTTAAATATTAATCAATAAATATCATTAAACAGGCGTGTTATTTTTTTTCATCGTGTCATCAGAAGGCCTGGTAGTTTTCATATACGAAATATACTGTAGCCTTCGCAAGTTCTAAACATGTAACTTGTCGGTTCCTATTTTATTATTAGTAGTAACTAGCAATCGAAAGTAATAATTGGTATATGAGAACTGGTCAAGTTAGACCTTAGGCTTCAGTATATTATCCTAAGTTATAAGAAAAAATGATATTTTATATTGTTATAAATACATTTCAGGACAGACCATTGAACTTGGCCCCCATTTAGATCTCACCTCTTTTGTCGTAGAAGTCAACAATCAAGGCATATATCATAATATTAAACTCGGCTATCATTTAACATTTATGTTTTTGATGGGATTTTCTATTGTATTCTATTTTTCACCATTATAAAATGAAACTGTTTACTTGTATCATTATTTGAATTGGTTTAATAAATTTTTATGTAATATGTTTTTAATGTTTTATTGTACTCTGTACATTCAAACCCTCCTTGGATTTTTAAGAAGGTACATTAAGGTTTCTTAAGGGTTGGCAATGCGCACGTGACACCCCGGGTGTATCAGGTGTTCCTACGGTAATTGTTACCATCGGATGGGCCGTATGCTTGGTTGCCACCATAGTAGTATAAAAAATATATCTTTAACTTATATTCTTTGATTAAAGTGAGATAACTATGAAGGCGGTTACCTCAGGCCGGTGCACGGGTATCTATCTCACTTTCGAATTCGACGATTAGCTCACCGCCTTACTCCAATGGTCGTGGGTTCGATTCCTCGCACAAAAATTTGTATTCTTGAGTATGATTGTATTGGTCTGGGTGTTTTCTTATTACGAAAAAATGTATCTATTTCTATCAGTTGTCTAGCACCCATAAAACAAGCTCTACTTAGCTTGGGACTAGATAGATAGACTCTTTGACTCCCGGTAAATAACTTACTAAGGTTTTTTTAAAAGATGACAATGGAATGGTGCACCCGCCTGCGCTAACGGTTTACGCTGGCGGGGCACCAGTGGAGGATGATAGGATGAACATGAAGTCAGATCAGTTAGCCCAAAGTGACAAATTCACCGGGAATGTATCACGATGATTTCCAGGGGGAACCGCGCGGAGGTCGATCTGACTGATCTGACAATCCCCTTCCCCCCACTTACAAAGGTTAACCTCTAGCTCAGGGCTACTATATTTTAGATCAGTCAAAAGCACAATTCCATCATCATCCATTAAAAAAGATATAGGCCCTTTTTAACAATACGTTGCTTTATCCTGTTTTTGACGTTTGTAACTTCACTTGTTTCATGTTTAGTCTACAAACTAGGGCGTGACGGAATGGTTGTCAAAATTATAGTATAAGTTGTATCAATAAATGTAATATAAATTTCAGTGCATCGTTTCGTAAATATTTGGGAATGGCATGCAAGAAGCCTTTGGGTAAGTTAGCATTCTTTTCCCTTGTCCCATCCGCCATCCCAGACTATGGCCCATCTATAGTCTTGAGTAATGAGTAGTCATGCTCACTAAAATGTCCAGACATGTGGCGGCGTGGTGGGCCGGGTCAATGGGCTCCCTAAAATATGGTCGAGCGCAGTGATGGCTGGCTCATCCGTCATACTCGTGAACGAGTGCTGCTTGTAGGGACTGGTCTGCTCTTATCACTACGACTGATTTAATCTTATTGCATGATTATATTTGACCCAAAAAATTAGTGCTTGTTGGTAGTTTGTATTCACACGTTTCGACTTGTAAATGTAAACTTACAAGGATTATTTAAAAGAGCAACACACAAGTTTCTTGCTCGTTCTTCTTGTGATGAGACAGCTTTCCGAACGAGTGGTAGATAAAAAACAAATTGTTATGACTATTCAAAAGTGCTTAAATTAAGTTTATTTGAATAAATGATTTTCTATTTCTATTCTATTCTATTCTATTCTTGTTTGGGCCCAACATCTTACACAAAGGAAGATCTAAATGCGACAGAATGCGCAAAAGTCTTCGCATCATTCTGGGGAAAGACATGTAGTTGCTATTGAAACGAAAGGAGCTTGCCTTTAACAATACTTTTGACAGAATTGTTGTGGACAACAGCAGGTCTACTCTCTAGTCTAGTTTTCAATATCAATATGTTCCAGTTCTGTATCATTCTTTTAAAAGGCATTCCACGATACTTGATATCGTATTTGTGATTTATCGGTTTAACACACCTCTTTACTACCTATTGTCGCGAGTTCGATTTCTCACATGGTATAAATATTTGTAACGCTCTGGATGTTTTCAATATTGACATTAAATTGGAATGAATTAGTGATCCTGTTGCTAGCAATGTCATGTTGAGTTGACCGCCAAACGTTTCCCCTGGACACCATCGTGGTCAATTCACCAGAAATTGACTGGCTGACCGAATCAAGACATCAATGGAGGATGATGGAACGAGGATGAAACGTCGTAATAATTAAACAATTCAATCAGAAACAAGCAAGAACTTACTCATATTACACTTGTTTTCTCTACTAATAATCCTTATTTGGAATTAGTGATCCTGTTGCTAGCATTGCTATGTCATACTGACCGCCAAGCAAGCCGCCTGGATACCTTTGTGGTTAATTCTTGGTGAATTGTCCTATAGGGGCTGACTGATAGATCTTCATCTTCATCTTATCATCCTTCAGTAATGCTTCGTCAGCGTTATTGCAGACGCGTGCACCATACTGATTATTCTAACTTCATCCTTATCATGTTAAATTCCTGGTGCATTTGTCACAATAGGCTAACTAACCTGACATGCTGACTAACCTGACTTAATTCTCATCCTATCATCCTCCATTTGTACCTCGTCAGCGTTATCGCAGACGCGTGCACTATACTGACTAATCTGAGTACATCCTTATCTTATCATCCTCCAGTAGAGCCTCGTCAGCGTTATTGCAGACGCGTGCACCATACTGATTATTCTAACTTCATCCTTATCATGTTAAATTCCTGATGAATTTGCAACGATGGCCTAACTGACCTGACCTCATACTCATCTTAACATCCTGCAGGTGCCCGCCAACGTATATCTTTAGCACAGGCGAGTGCAGCATTACATTATCGTTTTTAAAAAAAAAACTTCATCCTTATTATCATGTTAAATTTCTGGTGCATTTGTCACAATAGGCTAACTAACCTGACCTCATACTCATCTTATCATCCTGCACTGGTGCCCGCCAACGTATACCTTTAGCACAGGCGAGTGCAGCATTCCTTATCGTTCTTTAAAAAAAATCATCTTTATCCAATCATCCTCCAGTACAGCCTCGTCAGCATTAGCTCAGACGTGTGCATCATGCTGACTAATCTGACTACATCCTCATCTTATCATCCTCCAGTAGAGCCTCGACAGCGTTACCGTCGACGCGTGCATCATACGGATTATTCTAACTTCATCCTTATCATCAAGTTAAATTCCTGATGAATTTGCCACGATGGCTGGTTGGTGCTCCGCCAAAGTATACCGTTAGCGCCGACGAGTACAGCATGTATCATTCCTTAAAAAAAACTTTATCCTCCAGTAGTGCATCGTCAGCGTTAGCGCATTGTCATCGTCAGCATACACCATATTAATCTATAACACTCTACCTTCAGGGCCTGGACCAGGAGCATACCAACTACCAACAACAGTGGGGTTTAACAGTCATGACCCATCACGATATCGCAACCCGATGTTCTCGTTCGGGACTAACGCAGGATTCAGGGTGAAACAGCTGGGCCCAGGCCCCACTTACAGGATAGACAGGGTCACGAGGGACGGTATGGAGTCATCGCCAGCTTGGAGTTTTGGTGCCAGGTACCCAATGTCTCTTGAAGAAGTACAGAAATAATAATAAGATTTTTAGGATGTCACTCTGTTATTATCCACAAGTTCAATAACAGAATGGTATTCTAAAGATTCCATTATTAGACGGCCTCGGTGGTCTAAAAGTTTAGCAAACAATTGTCGATTGTCGCGGGTTCGATTCCTCGCATGGTACTCACATTTGTATTTATTAGTAGGTATATTTTTTTGTATCGCACTGGGTGTTCTTTACTTTGTATATTATGTATTTGCAAAAAAAATATTAGTTTTCCCATAACATAAGCTCTGTTCCACAGCACCATCTAGGCCCAAGCCTAGATGGTGCTGTGGAAATTGCCTAAGGTTTTTATTCTACACTAATATTATAAAGCTGAAGAGTTTGTTTGGACGCGCTAATCTCAGGAACTACTGGTTCGAATTGAAAAATTATTTTTGTGTTGGATAGTCCATTTGTCGAGGAAAGCTTCAAGCTATATAACATTACGGTACGACCAATAGAACCGAAGCATCAGTGAAAAATGTTGCAAAACAGTGAAAATTAATTCACATTTGAGGGCGTCCGTTGTGTGTGTTGCGTAAACGGTTCAAGTTACCCAAAAAGTATGAATTTTTTTTTTATAACACAGGGGACAAACGAGCATGCGGCTCACCTGATGGTAAGTGATTACCGCCGCCCATGAGCACCCGCAACACCAGGGGAATTGCAAGTACGTTGTCGGCCTTTTAAAAAGTAATAAGCTCTTTTCTTGAAGGTTTCAATATCGTATCGGTTCGGAAATACCATTGCTGGAAGGTGATTCCACAATGTGGTTGTGCGAGGCAAAAAGTTTCTAGAAAACCGTACTGTGGAAGACCGCCATTCATCCAGATGATCAGGATGGTATTTCAGTTTCTGGCGGGTGGTACGGTGGTGAAACTCAGCAGTTGGTATTAATCCGAACAATTCCTCAGAACACTCCCCGTGATATATGCGGTAGAAAATAAAACGAAGTCGCGGGAACAGCTAATATTATCATATAGGTTTAGTGATATATTACAGGTTTGGGCAACGATCTACCCTCCGAACTCCAGGTCCAGGGGCGCACGCACCAGAACGCTGTCCCCCCATGAAGGAACCACGAGCTCCTGTCTACTCCATGGGCGCCAGACTTGGCTTCATGCTGAAGAAGCCTGGACCCGCACCCAATGTATACGCCCTGAGGCTTGGAAGTGGAACACCTGCGTATACGATGGGTGCTCGCGTGGGGTTCAATCCAAAGTCTAAGTCTCCCGGACCTGCTATCTACTTCCAACATGATACTGATGTATATAAAACAAGGTTATTTCTGTAATGTAACTTTTAGAAAGACGAAAGAAAGACAATTTCTTCAGTTCTTATAACTATAGCTTTTAATAGAAACAGTCATATTCGCTATAAAGTTTAAATTTGTGGCGGCATGATGGTCGATGTGCTTCCTCTAATATGGTCGATGCTGGCTGGCTCATCCGTCATACTCGTGAACGGGTGCCGCTTGTGGAGACTGGTCTATGCAGGTTACGATCACTGATTAGACTTTTTCCTTTTGCAATAGCATATGCTGGTCCCTCTCCTAAATTTGAATTTAAAAATGAATCTTTATTATTGTAAACATGTACAACTTATTTGCATATGCTGGTGGTCACTCTTTTCTCCTAAATTTGAATTTAAAAATGAATCTGTATTATTGTAAACATGTACAACATTTATTTAAAAAGAATACGAGCTGAGCTTCTTGTCAGTTCTTCTCATCTCGAAATCATTCCGTACTGACGGTAGATTAGACCATAAGAGCCTGTAATAGACCTAAATGAATATTTTGAATTTGAATTTTAATAAAACCTTAGTGGTCTAGCGGATTAACACACCGCTTTACTTATAATAGTCGTGGGATCGATTCTTCGCGTGGTGTATTCATGAGTATGATTGTTTGTATCAGTCTGGGTGTTTTCTATGTATAGTATGAATCTATTTGCAAAATAATTTACAAGTTATGTGAATTGTCCAGATATATTATTATAAGTTTTAGTGATAAAATTTATCCACGTATATTTTACATAGGATGCCCATATATTCGTTGGGTGGTAGACTGCAAGGCGCAGGAAAGGCCACCAAAAGTCCAGGACCTGCCAACTACCCTCCGAACCTTTACAATACCAAAAAGGTATGTCTGTCTATCATAGTTTTTTTTAAGGGTTATATTAATGATGATGTTTTTTTTTTATTAATAGTGGGATTGCGCTTGGTCTTACCTCATCTGATGGTAAATGATGGCAAGATCTAGGATGTAGCGCGCTTACCCAGAAGATATCTATTCACCATAGACTTGAAGAATCCGGGGTTGTATTTCTCCGGGAACACGAAATCTGGAAGTGTGTTCCACTCTTTGGCAGTGCGTAACCCTAACTAACAATCGCTTCCCCGCAGGTCGTGGGTACAAATCTGACTGATAACAAAGAACAAATTTTAAATGTTTTTCTCAATTGAATGTGTATACTGAACGGTAGGGAAAAACAAAAAAAAATGCATAGAGAAAATTTGACGTTCAAAAGTAAAAGAATAAATCATTTTTGATTTGATTTGTTACACCACCTAGGGGAGAATATATATATAACGGTATCAATGGTTTAGCAGTTTAGCACACTGACTCGCTTCCGATGATCGCGGATTCGATTCCTCGCATGGTACAATAATTTGTATTCATGCGTATGATTGTATGTATCGGTCTGGGAGTTTTCTATGTATATTATGCATGTATTTAAAAAATTTATCTATTTATTTATATCAGTTGTCTAGTACCCATAACACACGCTCTGTTTAGCTTGAGATTACATGGCGCTGTGTTAATTGTCTAGATAATTCTGGACAATTAACACAGCGATATCTAATTTACAAAAGAATACTTATTACAAATAATTGACTAAAAATTTACTATTTACAAAAAAATATATTTATATCGGTTATCTAGTACCCATAACTCAAGCTCGGCTTAGCTTGGGCTCAGATAATAATAATAATAATATTTCAGGACAATTCTCATAGCGCCATTTAGTCCCAAGCTAAGCAGAGCTTGTGTTATGGGTACTAGACAACTGATATAAATACATGGATACATTTTTTTTTAAATAAATACATATTACACATAGAAAACACCCAGACCGATACAAACAATCATACTCATGAATACAAATGTTTGTACCGTGCGAGGAATCAAACCCACGACTATCGGATAGTAAAGCGGTGTGCGAAACCACTAGACCACCGAGATGGCGCTGTGTTACTTGTCCTGAGATATTATTGTTAGTTAATATATGTGTTAACAAAAATATTTGCTTTTATTACGATTAATATAAATCGATATTGTTAATACAAAGAGGTATCTACAAATAATTGAATTAAATTTTCAGAATCCATATTCTTACTCGTTTGGAACGAAACACGGTAATTACGCACCGCCCATGATCATCAGAGAAGACACAATGGACTGCTTGTAACGTTAAATAGTTTAAGTATAACAAAATTACACCAATATATTGACTGCATATAACTTGTGAATGTGGTACGCAGCAAAATTAAACTCTGCATGGAATCATTTCAAAACGACGCGACGTGACAAGTTTTTTAACGCGCGATCAGGAGCATGTTTTAGCGCGGGAAAGCTAGCGCGCGCAATCTCTAGTTAATAAAATCACATCAATATATTGACTGCATATAACTTATGAATGTGGTATGCAATAAAACTCTACATGGAATTTAAAAGTGAATGTAAAACTGCCTTTACGCGACAGTTCGTTCTACAGATCGCGCGCAATCATGACGGATTGCATTTTACTATTTTTTTATGTTCACTTTAAAGCACGTAAGATTCATGTTATTTCAATTTTTTAATTTGGTTTTTTATGTACATATTTTAAATTCCAAAGACACGATAACATTTATAAATTATTAATAACTCTATAGTTGTCTTTGCCCCGTAGTAAGATGTCTGTCATTTTGCAAAGATTAGTATGGTCTTTCAAATATGAAGAAGTTTAAAGTAAACTAGGCTGTACTGTCTAAGGATCTTTGCCTGTTCCATCATTTCAAAGGAGTTGAACGAATATGAAGAAAAAGTATGGTCTCTCATGTTAAAATACGCTGTGAAATTTATGGGCAGAAATTTATGATTTCACTGTTTATCCACCTTACAGAAGTATACCTAGTCTTACAGAAGATGTGTCTATATATTTTTCAAACTCCACCATTATTTATATTAATAGTAAATTTCAGGCACATTTTTTTAAATGTACTGCCAAGTTCAGACCATCTTAATTAATAAGTCACAAAATCACATTTAATAAAAAAAGTGTATAATAATAAAATGTATGTCTTATTTGCTGTCTTTGTACGGGTTCAAAGTGTTTTTTTATGGAGAAATTACAATAATAAAAATAAAATGTTGTCATTTCAATATTATTTATTTTATTTATGTACCAATATACCGAATACTTATAAAACTGAATTGGTAAACAAAGCTAACGGCTCAACAGATGGTAAGTGGTAACCTACGTACATATACAGCATTACGGACATCACGTTATCATGTGATACCCTTCTACCACTGATGCGTTTGCATTGCAGAAGATTAAGAAGTCATTGTGAAAATCATGCCCCTTATACTGTACATCATAATCAGCACCATGGACTCCATGCCGTGACTTGACGCCCATGGTACCTACTCGTCATTTTTGTCATTCCAGAAGGCGTCGTTTTTTTTATTGTTTTTTATAAACGGAATATGATGAAACCTATTTTTGTATAATTACTACCGACATATTGTACCTGCCATATTCTAACAAATGAATTTTTTTGTTATTAAAATATCGGTTTCTACCATTATTGCAAGATAGTTGATTGGGGGCGCCACTGTATTACGCTCCGGAATCATAAACCCTATTGATTTTTTAAATTACTTTGTTAATAAAATCTTTCAATAATGTATGAAATGTACGAACGAAACGCAACCGGCAATGTGAACCTGTCTAGAACTGACATGAAATTGCTAACTGTCAGATCAGAATGAGGTATGTGTTGTCAATCCAGGTGTCATTCATCAGTCGATCCATCACTTTTATTCTCCAAATTCCAGCGTTAATGTCATTGCGTGTCTTTACGGTGTGCGTTGATCGCGATTGATTCGCCTTCCTAAATTGGTGTCGAGTGCCTGTAAACAAAGAAATTAGGGGAACAGCCAACAGGTGATGTGAGGGAATTATAACGCCGGCGGCTCCTCACGCTGCCTCAGCAAACATTCAGAATCTCAGCAGCCTTCGTATCCTGTGAACGCAGCCCTGCAACCCACACCAGTTTGGACACGTTATGGTGAGTGCTATTACCATTTTTAGCAATTATTTTGCATGTAACCACAGCACGACCGGTCCTAATTGCGTTTTACATAACTCTTTGTGATGATAAACTGAGACGTTTTTGTTTCCTTTGCCTATAAGATTCTAATAGGATTTTTTTAAATTTAGGTAAATTGTTAATTTTTTTTAAGACAATTCTTTTATTAGTAATGTTTTTTTTTAATTGTGTTTGTATGCCATGTAGTACGTAATAAAAAACGAACATTTTAAATAAAGAATTAATCAATATTTTTTTTATAATAAACTTATGATTATAATAAACTTAGAGAAGATCCATTTATTTAATAATATATATAGTTGTATGTACATTTCGTTGTAGGTTTACAATATATATTATTACTATTTTGTAATTACTACCACTCTTTATAACATACTATTTTATTAATACATCTATATATGTTTTAAATATAGATTCTAGAGTGTTCCATGACAGGATAACAACAGTTCTTAATTTAAAAATATGTGATTCTCTTTTATTAGTTTGGCAATGATTCTAATTTAGAAGTTTAGGTTTTAAAGCAGAATATCAATATGTTCAAATAATTGAATAATTCCCCTAAATTGCTTATCTGTAGTTTAAGTTTTAAAGTAGGATATGAAAGTGTTAAATTGAGTAATCAATTCCCTGAAACTTATCTATATGAATATATTTAAATACTTCATAATGAGAATAGAAATAATATTCATTCAAATAAACTCCTGTATAAGCACTTCTGAATAGTCATATTGTTTTATTCTACCACTCATTTGGAATGCAGACTCATCACAAGAAGAATGAGCTAGTAACTTATGTGTTGCTCTTTTGAATAAATGTTATTTTAAATAAATAAATACACAATAACAAATAAGAGGCATGCAATAATCAACACAGAAACCGCTACCACACATTCTTAGTGCAATCCGATAATATTGCCAGCGAATTTTACGTTTTTTCTACAAAAATATCCACTCAACATTAATAATATCAGAATTTCAAATTTAATATTAATTGAAAGATTATATATAAATTATTTTAGATTTTATCTGGGTCATTATTTATATCTAGAATTTGGAAAAATTACCATTTGGTAAATTCCATATTCAAATTAAAAATATATATATTTTTTCCATATTCGTCCATCTCCTTTTCAAAGATGGAACAGGCAAAGATCTCAAAATATCAATAACCAAGTTCCATATTTTTTTTAATACACCCAGAAGTTATCAACAATAGTTTCTATGTAATTGGAAACAAGCCGATAGGCCACCTGATTTTAAATGACAATTGTCTACATACATGAACAGCACTACAGACATTGTTATCATATAACACCCATGACTCATGTATTGTGACATTCCAGTGGACTGTGTCATTCCTCTTATCCTGTAATTTCACTGCTTAATCTGTAACCTTCAACCGAAATACATTACAAAGCTGTATAGATTTGAGCCTGAGCTACCTATGCAGACAACTTCAGTATACCTCTGTACTAATATTACACAGAGAAATGGAGTGAAAGAAAACTCTGAAATCAATATTGGTACAATATCAATTTGAGAAATTCTTTTACTTGTTAAAACACTTTATTTGTATCTTCAGTATAAATATATGTATATATTATGTTAAAGTGAAAAAGTTAAAAGTTATGCTGGCAGGGTGGTGCCCTGCCAGCATAACTTTGGAGGATTATAAGATGAGCATAAGGTCAGGTCAGTTAGCACATTGTGCTGGAGCTCCATCAATTCACCATGAATTTATCACAATAGTTTCCAGGGGGAACTGTGTGGATGTCAACCTGACATGGTACATTCACATTATTAACTAAACTTAAATTAGTGCTATTTGGTAGTTTCTATTCACACATTTCGATTTGTAAAATGTGAACTTACAAGAATTGTTTAAAAGAGCAACACACAGGTTTCTTGCTTATTCTTCTTGTGATGAGACAGCTTTCTGAATAAGTGGTAGCTTTAAAAAAAATTGTTGACTATTCAAAAGTGCTTAAATTAGATTTTCTATTCTATGCTATTCTATTCTATTAACAATTCTCTTCCCCACCGCGCAGGCGGGTGCACCATTTCATTATCATCCATAAAAAAACCCTTCAGCTCATTTAAAGAAATAAAAATGTCTGATAATATCATATTTAGCTCAATTTAGGCTCACACTTGTATTAACCTCAGTGGTCTAGCGGTTTAGATTTACTTTTGAAGTTAGCAGGTTCGATTTTTCGCACAAAACAAATATTTGTATTCATGTGCATGATTTTTTGTATCAGTCTGGGTATTTTCTATGTGTATTAATTATATATGTATTTACAAAAAGAAATCAAGTATAACATCAGTTGTACCCATAACACAAGATTTGCTATTTTCAATATTGCTATGTACCAACTAAACAATTTTCTTTCTTTCTTTCTTTTTAGCTTGGGACTAGAAGGCTGTGAATTGTTTTAGGTTACTATTTTTTAAGATCATTTCTCTTATTATTTCAGTCAGCTCAAATTGGCTCTCGAGAACCTCGTCCATCATATTATTTTATTTTAAAAATATATTATCATTCTACACTCCTTGTCTATATAAACTAGGGTTGCCAAGCCCAAATTTAAAAAACCAGGATTGAAAGTTCTTTAAACCAGGACTATCCAGTTTAAAAACAGAACGCAGTAATAGTATTGCAATAGTTGTATTAATATGTAGTAAAATTCAAGTAATTAATGTAATCAGGATTTTAATAAAAAGTATATGATACAATTATACTGTTGAGAATCAGTAACTAAGAGGCGCCGTATATTTTAAAAAAACAGGACGCTGTCAAATAACTATTCAGGACTTCACAGGACATTTCAAAAACTAGGACATGTCCTGAGAAAACAGGACGGTTGGCAACTCGTATCTTATTTAATAAATGCGAAAATTTGTGAGTATGGATGGATGTTTGTTACTCTTTCACTCAAAAGCTACTGAACGGATTTTGATAAAACTGTACAGTAATGTAGCTTATACATCAGAATAATATATAGGCTATAAATTTCATGCGAGTGAAACCGCGGGCACAGCTAGTAATGCATATTTTAATTTCAGTAGGTCGAAATCTAGGAGATGTTTGTACGAGTATCCTTGTACGGTTGACAACCCTGTTGGGATAACCTATTCATATAACCTAATACATGTAACATTGTATGTGCGTACGTATGATATGACTAAATACAAAGTGCAGATTTGTATAAACAGCAAAGTGAATGACCGACAGACATCTCTCGTCGAATATAAAACAGGTAGGTACAATGTGGCACCGTACTGTCACCGCAGACCAACATACACCTATAGACGGAGCATATAGAATAGAATAAATTTTGTTGACGATACAGTTTTTGATGAAATAATAAATGTTGTTGACGATACAGTTTTTGATGAAATAATAAATTTTGTTGACGATACAGTTTTTGATGAAATTATAAATTTTGTTGACGATACAGTTTTTAATGAAATAATTAATTTTGTTGACGATACAGTTTTTAATGAAATAATTAATTTTGTTGACGATACAGTTTTTGATGAAATAATTAAATTTGTTGACGATACAGTTTTTAATGAAATAATAAATTTTGTTGACGATACAGTTTTTAATGAAATAATAAATTTTGTTGACGATACAGTTTTTGATGAAATAATAAATTTTGTTGACGATACAGTTTTTGATGAAATAATAAATGTTGTTGACGATACAGTTTTTGATGAAATAATAAATTTTGTTGACGATACAGTTTTTGATGAAATTATAAATTTTGTTGACGATACAGTTTTTAATGAAATAATTAATTTTGTTGACGATACAGTTTTTAATGAAATAATTAATTTTGTTGACGATACAGTTTTTGATGAAATAATTAAATTTGTTGACGATACAGTTTTTAATGAAATAATAAATTTTGTTGACGATACAGTTTTTAATGAAATAATTAAATTTGTTGACGATACAGTTTTTAATGAAATAATAAATTTTGTTGACGATACAGTTTTTAATGAAATAATAAATTTTGTTGACGATACAGTTTTTAATGAAATAATTAATTTTGTTGACGATACTGTTTTTGATGAAATAATAAATTTTGTTGACTATACAGTTTTTGATGAAATAATTAATTTTGTTGATGATACAGTTTGTTTAGGAATAACAGTGGACTCGAAATTACAGTGGGGACTTGTCCTTGTCCTTGGGACTTGTCCCTGTCGGGTCTAGGTAGCGAACTTTGAAAAAGGGCGAGCACAATAGATCTATGTAGGTCGCAGTGCTACAGATGCAGGTATCTGACAATAGCCCAAACAACCCAATAAAAAAAAAATTCAATGGGAATCCCATATTTCAAAATTAGCCAGTAGACTCAGTTCTGCTGCTTATGCAATTAGAAGAATAAGAAAATTAACAGATCTTATTCTTCTAATTGCAGTCTGGGGTCTTCTCTTTGCTGAGAATAATGAGCGAGAAACTTATGTGTTGCTCTATTGAATATACGTTTTTTACAGTAAATAACGACATAATAAGTAAGAGGCATGCGATAATCAACACAGAAACCGCTACGTACTCATTCTTAGCTCAATCAGATAAAATTCACAGCGCTATGTTTATGTTTTTTATACAAAATTAACTGTTCTGACGATTATAGGATATAGGTTCTGGTATCGTTATCCACTATTGCTATTCCATTAATACGCATTAAAAATAACGACTTATTCCGCGTAATCTTGATTGACACGTAAGATATAAGTATTGAAAATAAAATCATTATTCAAATAAACTTACAGTAAAACACTTTTGAATAGTCATTACATTTTTTTAATCTACCGCTCATTGGAAAGCTGTCTCATCACAAGAAGAACGAGCAAGAAACTTGCGTGTTGCTCTTTTAAATAATTTTATTATTACTTTACATTTTTAAGTTTAAGTGTTTGAATACAAACCACCAATTAGCACTA